CCACAGTTCACATTTCTTACCATCTGGTTACCATGAGTGAGTTAACCAAATTTAATGTCATTTCATGTTTCAGTTGAAGTGAAGATGGAACACAGAAACTCCATGCACGTCCATGCACAGAACTTCAGAAAAATAATCTCCAGAAAGAGAGTCTCAAGCTCACCTGTGAAAATAAACACACACTGAAATTTTCATTTAAATTCAAATTAACAAATGAATAATAAAAGACGCACAAATCCCAAAACAATCACAGTCATATAGTGGTGGAACAGGTAGGGGTCGAGTAAGCGTGCCTGGTTTCTACAAGTCTGTTTGTGTGAAATGGTGTGTGTATGGTGTGTGTATGGTGTGTATATGTTGTGTGCATGGTGTGTGTGTGTGTGTGTGCTTTTCAGTATTGAGCCAAGCAGTGATAGATGACACAACCTGCAGGGGAGATCCGGGCCAAAGCAATGAAAGCGAGGACATGAGGGGAAACCTATAGGGAAGAGCCTCTACTATTGCAATCATTAGTTCTGAGGCTCATCCATCACAGAGAGATCTACTTGGTAAGAGTTACATTATGAAAAAAGTCTTCTGGGGAGATTACCGTGTGGCCTTGGCTCTGAACAGTGCCTAAGAGGCAGTTTAGATTAGATAGAATAACCCGATAGAGGAGGAGCAGACGCTGCTGTGCGTTATCATGTTCAGATGTTCAGTTCTGAATCAATGACACGCAGTCTTTATCATTATCACTCCTGAGAAATGTGTATTTACCAGCTTTTTATTTCCTCTCATATCTCACAGAGCAGGTAAGTAAACAAAGTGAAGTGTGACAGATCTCTCAGAGCCTGAAGGCAACTGGAATGAGGATGTTAACATTATCACCACAAAACAGTTTTAGGGAGAAAACATCTCGAAAAAGCTAAAAATATCTATCCGACACCGGGCTGCCATGTGCTCTGCTTGTGCCATCTAGTGGTGATATGGATCATTGATATGACCTCTAATATTCTCCAATGCCCCCTCTTTACTTCTGATTCCATTATGACTGGACCATAGAATAAATGAAAAAATCATGACATTGTAGCTGCTCTGTCCCTGCTCTGTCCCAAAATGCACCTCTCTTCAGCAGGGGTGTTTCTACGGGGGCCGGGAGCAGCATGAGCCCCCATGACATTAGGTTGACCACCCAAGATGCCATCCCAACTATGATTGGCTATCTGCCCAGTAAGAGGCCTGACTTGAGTTCAAAACAACATACTGGTGCAAGTAGCTTTTATGTCATTATGTAGTATATTTTCATTTATTGTAACTTTAATAACCCTTAACCTTGTTAACAATATAAATCTGCATGACGGAGGGAGGGAGTAGCAGAGATAACTCTGTTTTCTCCCACTTTACGAGTGTTTTAATATGGTTAATACAACAGCTAATCATATAGTTATGAAACCAATGGAAACGTACTTCTAACTGAAGTAAAAAACAACTATCACAACTTGGCGAACAACCAAATCTTATGTCTTCCACGGCTCCGAGGTAGAGCCTCCAATTGGAAGAGCGGTGCAATCCCCAGCTCCTTCAGCAATAAAAGTGCAGTCGAGGCAACATTATCACTTTATTTATTATATACATTAATATATACACAGCTTTTTGTTAACAAAGAGGTTTTAAAAAAGCTAGTTGGGATGCATATAATGTGTCATTAATTTTATGGATATTTCCTTTTTAGACTAAATAAAACTTCCAATTAAAATTTAAATCGGAGGAAAAGATTACAAAGTTGTTTTTTAATATAATGAGAGCATCTGACTAATCAGCTCATTGGTAACACCTGCTATCGCCTAGTCACAAAGAACAAACACACAAAGGAAGACAGATAATGACTTCATGAATTATCACTTTTGATGCAAAACTGATCAAACATCCCTCTCTGGAAAAAAAAAAAGGTAATACTTTCTGTACTTTAGAAAATGTAAAAAAGAGCAACAAACAGCTTTGAAATACTCGACACTGTAGGCAGTAGAATCCCCTTAAATACTTCATATTTGGAAAGGTCAGCTCTTTCCAATCGCTCTGTCATTAAGACATCTGAGAACTTCTGAGATGTAGTTTACAAACAGTTGCTGAATGATTTGCATCCACAGCTCATAAGTCAAACAGGAAAACAAGCGAGCAGTTCACCCGCTTAAATCTGAAGGTCATCCCATTCATCAGATGGGAACCATTCTCTAAACTGCACTCTATCTTCAGCTGTGGCCCTAAACCTGAATTACATCCAGTCTGGCTCATACTGAGGAGCTGCTGTGCCAAACACCTTATACCTGTAATTGAATTGAGATTCTATAATAGCACAATATATCATCATCATTAAAGCTGACTCCAAGGCCCAAATGAGCTAAAGGCTCCCCATCGGACAAGGTTCATGATCATTTATTTTATTATTTTTTTGCCATCCATGCCTGAAAATACTCTCATCACTACTTCAGTCTCTCTATTAAATGTTGCATATTTTGACGTTTTAAACCATTTATAAGAACCAACCTTTTTGCCCTCAATTAATTAGGCAGCTATTGTTAAAAAAATTTTTAAAAATAAATCCCTTTGCAAGCAATCCAAACCTTATCTGAAACTATTGGAAAATATCATTAATCATTTAGCTAAAATAAATGCTGCATTGATTATCATTCCCTGCATGGTTCTGCTCTTTGCCTTGCCAGTTTTCTGTTTGTCCTCTCTTCTCTTGCTTTCTTTTGTCCTTGAGAAGAGTACATGAAACTCTTTGAAATGCTTCATTAAACTTCATAGATTTTTCTCAGTGCACACAAGGACATCATGCACCGATTAGCCAACAATATGAATCATTCAATATCTTGTGTAGGTTTGGTTTACCTCTAATTATTTTTCAGTTGCCTTGTTTCTGAAAGCACATATATTTCTGGATAGAGACTGATCTAGAGACTGACAAAAACAATAATTAAGTGTTGTTGTATTTACAGTAAATAATGTGATCATCCACGGCAGAGGATAGTGACTTTACAAAGTACATCCTCATATGCTTAGGATGGAGCTAGTATCAGGGCATGTTAAGATTGGTTTAGCTGAATGAATATTTTGGTTGCTGAAACACGCCCGTGTAGCTTGTCTTTCTCGCCAAGAACAACAGTTTAAGGCCAGTAGCAGGATGTATAGCTCAAATTGGCGTTTTAATAAGGGCTCTTATGGGGTGTCATTTGTTTTTGGAGAAAGTGGACACTCAAGAAACTACAGCTTTTCACACATCTATAATTGCCTTCAACTTTCCACATCAGAAGCTGCTGCTTGCTGATACCCTGGTTCATTCTTGATGCTAAGCTAAGCTATCCTGACTTCAGTTCTGAGCTTGAAGCGAAGACATTAGATTTATCTGAACTGAAAAAAGAAAATGAACACTTAAACTACTTTTAATTGTTTTTTTAGAGAGGTTCAAGCTTCTGGCGGCTCCTATAATCCATTTTGCAGATGTGTTTGTGATAAAAACAGATGTGTCATTGTTTCTACTTGGCAGGTTTTGGGAGTCTGTGGCCTCCATTATAACTGCTGAGCTGGGGACTGAAGCATATTGTGTTTGTCCATAATAAATGTCAGTGGATCTCTGTGCAGCCTCAGCACACCTTTACATTAACATAGTTTCATGTCCTCAGTGGAGCGGCTTCACTAATTAGAATGATTGTTAGCCAGTTTAATTGGCTCTGTCAGCTGCCGTCTCAGGAGTCTCAGGATGCTCGCAGAGGTAATTGCATGTGAGGGAGAGGGAAAGAGAGCTGATGATGAACCCCAACAGAATTTACAGCAAAACCTGCGCTACACAGGCAGAATAATGGGCTCCCTATCTTTTTTCAATTACAGATACTGAATGGGGACGGTAATGAGGAATTAGTACAAAAAGGTGTTTACTACAAGAAAGTCAGAAGAAGTAAATACAATTTTAGACTCCACGGAGGAAAAAGTGTATACGAGGACAACCAGTTTTTTACAGGAGCAGGTTGATTAGAATTTAATTATGAATAATCTCCTGAAATGTATCCTATGATTGATCTCAAAGACTCAAAAGTTGATTTTAAAAAAGTGTTTTTTTAGTTTCTTTCAGATATCTCTCCAAAATGCCATTGCTGTGCAGTAAAAAGATCCAAGAAACTCAACAGATTTTTAATTGTCGGTCGTCTTTATACCAGAAGGTCGGAGTTCCATCCCCAAGCTCCTGCAGCCACATTTCTGATGTGTTCCTGGGAAAGATACTTAAGCCTGAGTTGTTCCTGCTGCTTCCTCAACAGCAATGTGTGGACGTTTATGTCGGGATTAGTTACTTCTAATGGTGAGACTGTTAAAATGATTGTTAATAGATTATCCGAAATGTAACCATGGATTGATTTTGCTGTTATAAACTGATTCGTTTTACTTATTTAAGATTTGATCTATTCATTTTGAATAGAACCTGATAATATATAACGTGGTTGAAATCCTCCCAATCTTAACAGACACTGTACGATTTAAAGTGCTGTTTACATTAGAACTGTCATCATGTTTAGAAAAGTTTTAAAATATATATTTTTTAAACGTTGACTTTTTTTTGAGCAGCTCTTGATAACAAGTTTCCTCCACCGCCTCAGCGAAGAAATTACATTGTCTGAACCTAAGGCTTTCATGTACTTCTCGAGTGCATCTAAATTCTTCCCAGACCTACAATTTGTTTTGAACTGATCTATCACCGTGACAATAATCTGTCCCCAGAGCGCGCCGCCTGCAGAACAACACTGATAGAGCCGAGACGTGTGAGGACGGCTGCTCTTGTGGACTCCTTCCAGACTTTTAGATGCATTAAATGAACAGCATTAAAGCTGAGAACAGCGAGGAGGTAAACACACACATTCAACATTCTGACATTATAGTGCTGGTGCAAGCTGCGGATTGTCATGGGGGGGGAATGAACATCTTAAAGGGAAACGTGGAGGGGAAGAATCAGTCTGATGCAGCAGCAAACATTTGATTCAGCTAGCTTTATTATGGCACTTTGTACATGTCACTTTACAAACTCAACATTCAGGGTTTCTTTTTGTTCAAATGACACATGAAGCAGAAACTTTGTGTTAAAAAAAAAGATGATTTCATCACACCCTCTCTCTCTCTTTCTTTAGAACATGCCAGAGCAGGAATGATATTTTCCATAAACTGTAGATCAACCTACGACTAAAGCCTGTAAGTCCTCACTGGTTTCTCTGATGTAATTAGATACCTAAATCAACATCAATATCTTAAAGGAGCTCCTGGTTGGGTGGAAGAATCTCTCTCCTTCTTACTGGCTGGGAAAATATCCCTTCCTTAAGAGATTTCAGTACGATTCTGTTCTGTCAGTTGATGGATCTTTATGTCTTATATGCTGGCAAATGTTTTTTGCTTTCCCTAAGAACAGATGTAAATGTTTAGTTTGAACATATAGGATGCAGTCAATACATTTTACTTGCACATGAATCCCCCATGTTATCAAGAATACCGAGTTATTCCAGATTTGATACAGGTCATGTTACCAGCATAAAACATTTCAAATCACCACATTAGGGATTTATTCCAAATCAGCATTTATCAGCTCTTTGAGATATCAACAAATCAACTAGTGAGTGTTTTGTTAGGTTTTCTTTAATATGAATATATATGGCCTCATGTATATTGGAATATTAGTGACATATTTCTTCTCCTTTTTATGTAAACAGCTTAGTATGAATATTATCTTTAAAGGAATAAGGACAAACGTTGGAAGATGAAGTATTCGTGGCTGTGATGTAGGAACAGTAACAAAAAAAACAAAAAACACTTTGGAACACTTCACGGCCCTGCTACTTCATAGTGTGGCCTGGGATCAATCTTTACACAGGGGAGGGGGTAAGGGAGATTATTTCCTCATCACTTTCAGTAAAAATGATTCACAGAGGGATGTTTTCACAACCAGGAGGAGAAAAGAAATTAATTAAGATGAACAGCAACTCAATGTACCTTTATGATAAAGTGGTGACACCATCCTGAAGTGAAATCAGAAATATATATATATATAGTCTCCAAAGGTATTTAAAACAATCTTAAAGCTCTTATGAGGAACTTTCACTTTGGGTTGGCTTTGGCGAGCCCTCTGGACAAAGCAGTGATTTTTATCTCAACACAGTTTCAGCAGAAGTCTGATTCTGCTCAAGGTTTCTGCCTGTTACACTAAAGTTTTTCCTTGCCACTGTAACTTTGCAATGTTATTTGTTCTCTACAAATTAAGGTTGCTTGATAGATTGAATGATCTCTTTACTGATTTTGTCCTTTACAAGTGTTTGTAATGTTTTTAACATAAATTCTCATCATGCTTTCGTGAACCAGTCAAATATATCACTCACTCTGAGAATCTTTGCTGTGGAAAATGTAAAAATATAGTCATAGTTTCTGCAGCATGCAATCCATAATTGAATCTGACTACCTACTCAGTGGCAGCCGTTTCAGGCATTAAAAATGATGTGTACAAATAATCATTCTTGTCCCTTATGGTTTGCTTCTGTGGTTCATAGAGTATTAAATGAAATGTTTCATAACCAGTTAAAAACTCTTCCCATGAGCTCTAAACATTGTGACGTCTTCTTGTTAGTTTGACTTTAAACCAGCCTTCAGTTTCACCACACTAAAGACAAGATGGAAAAAAGTCCCAGCTGAGCAGCTCAAACAAGGGAATGTTGGTTTGTTTGCTGTCTGAATAAATGAAATGATCAAATATCAAAACTTCTGATGAAGTTGACTGTTAACTTCCTGTAGAATGACTTATTGACTAATTGTTTAAACTATAGTATGGGACCCATTAATAATAATCACTTGTACCATCTTAACTTTGTGTTTCTGGTTTTACAAAACATCAATGAAGTGAAGCTCTGATTATCAAAGAAAAGAGACATCCAGTACCCTCGCCGTCTTCTGCTGTCAAAATTACAGATATATGAAAGGACACTGTCATAAAAACCTAATCCTGTACGTAGAATGGGACTCTTCGGGTGGTGTATGAATATACACAGTGACATACATTCACACATACTTTGTGCAAATTATTGTTTTACACACAAACAGAAAGTGGGTTCCTGGGAATTACCGGTAAACAGGCATTGAAGTGCTACGAGATCATTCGTTGGCACAAGAGAAGTAAACATTTACAATATTTACAATCTGAGATTAATAATCATGCGTTTCCTAAAAACAAACAGTTCTGTAGAAAATAAAGTTCTCACATTCCGTTGTGTTTCTGGCAGATGTTAAGCAAAAAAAAAAAAAAAGAATTGTTTCAAATGCATTCATGTTACTGTATTTATCAACTAGTCCTGTTCTGGAGAGTGGTTGATGGTCTTACGCTGTACAGGATGCATGAGCAGGAACAGGAAGCATTCTGAGATTGGCATTAAGTTAAGTAAAACATGCTACTGAAGGTACTCCAAAAAGAGTCACAATAAAGCTGATTGACTGAGAAGTCCTTTGAGTGGGTAACCAAACCTGACACACTCATCTAAAAAGAGTGACAGCATAAGGAATAAATCATTTTCTTAACACCAACCTTCATCAGTCTCTTGTCTTTAAAGTCAATGAATAAATTTAACCAGACCCGGATTGTTAAAACTCTTGAAAGTGAGAAAAAAAACTTGGGATTTTTGGGTGCTTAAAATGGTGGTGATCGATCCGCTCCAACACCCCAGACGGTGATGTCCTCTATGACATCATCCTCTCCCTTTGGTGCCTCCCTTTATCGCTGTCTGAGCAGCCCTGCATCATTCACACAGAGAGAGCTCAGCAGACTCCCAGGCTGCCCCTCTAAGCCTTTGGGGAGGAGGAGGAGGAGAGCTCTGGACAGGTGCAGGATCAGGGTGGGTTGGCTGTGAAGTTCTTGCAGGAGGGGATGTGACTTTAGGTCCGCACCCAGCTGACAGGAACCCAGAAAGACTCTCGTTCCAGCCTTTCCAAGATCCCCCTTAGTTCTGCACAGGCACTGGCAGAATCCTCTTTGATTAGGACCCGGTCCACCAGGTGTCCATACTGCTGATCGATCTGAATGGCAGACTGTCGCATCTCCTGCAGATCTTCATCCTGTTGCAAAAGTAAAAATAAAATGATTTCATTTTAAAGGAACAACTCATTTAGTGTTTACTGTAGCTGTGACACTATGCACTGTTTTCTATCTCAAAGCCTGAACATTTGTAGCCAGAACTATGTTTGTACAAGAGGGTGGATTTGGAAATAGTCCAGTGGTTATAAACTGCTAAATTAAAGTAAGCAATAGTTTGGATTACTAGCCTGAATTTCCCTCTTGGATTAATAAAGTATTTCTGATTTTCTGATTTGCAATGTGCACTCATTCTGCTCAGTCACTGTGATTTCAATTTGTAGGCTAATTTTCACTATAAAAAAAACCCAAACAGTATTAAACAGAATGTAAATACCAAAAACTGAAAAACCAAAGTGCATTACTCCCCTACTCTCTGGCAATCACATGACAAAATATATATTTTTTTAAATCTACTCTTTTGAGTGCACAATTTTTAAGATCAACCTTACAAGTGTCAAAGTGCTCTCCAGAGCATTTGAAATAATTTAATTTAGATTTTCAAGTAAAAAAGGAGATGAATCCCTCTGATGAGTATTATATATTATTTGCTTGATGATTTGTGATGATTATTTCACATTTGGGCTAAAGAAGCTTTCTAAGCCTTTGAATTAGGACACTTCTAATAGTGCCGAGGACTCACTGTAATGCGGCCATGATCGCCCCCTCCTGGAGAAGTGGCAGCACTGCGCCGACGTCTGCTCTCAGGAACACGAGGTTTGACAAAGATGACGTAGGGTTTGAACTCCGCTGTCCGCAGCCTCTTCAGGGCCTGCAGTGATGGAAGAAGATTTACATGCAACAGAAGACAAAGAGTTCAAATACCGGACATGATGGCAGAAAGCCAACAGTGATGCAGATCTGATGTGACTGTCGACTCTCGTCTCCTACTCGAGGAAACTGCTGCTGCCTGCAGGATCTGTAACTCCTGACATGTTGAGATACAGTTAGATGCAAATCAAACATTACACTTGTAACAAGAGCCGTACCTCAGGCTGAACGTCCACTACACACATCTTGTTCTTGGCCTGCACAGAGCGGATAGCCTCTATACTTGTGCCATACTGGTTCTCCTTGTATTCCCCATGCTCAATAAACCTGGGCAGAAAAAAAGAAGACTTTGAGCTTGAAAGGAATCATGTAAGTTTACACACAAGCAGCACAGTTTCAGTGTAAACATACTTGTTGTTTAAAGCGTCTGCATCAAATTGCTGTTTAGTGACAAAATGGTACTCCACAGCCTCCTTCTCATGAGGCTTCTTAGGCCTGGTGGTATCTGTGGGAACATAAAAAAAATAGCATCTTGTATGTTCAGTATAACATTAATTCATTTTTTATGAAAGATTGCGTAAATGTTCGGCAACTTACGCGGTACAGCCACTGCAAAACGATGAGGATTTTCAGCGATCACCCGCTGTTTGAGCTCATTTATTCGTGCTCCAAGAGAACCTGTGCAAGGGTGAAAGAAATAGTTCATCTCAAAAAGCAGTAAGATCAATTTCAATACACACTTTGCTCCACTAGATGTCACTATCATCATATGAGAAAATGTGTGCCTTTCAGTGGCTCAGTCTCACCGATGAGAACCACAAGTCGAGGCCTCTCATTGGGCCTCTGCTGGTATCGGGTCACCTCTTCATATGTCTGAAAGTCCGGGTCTCCAGGATCAGAGCCCTCCCCAGAGGATCCTTGCCTGTCCTTCCGACTCATCCGGAAACTTCTTCGTAAACCAGCTGAAGGGATGCAAGCAATGGCAGGGAAAAGGAACAGAAAAAGAGAGAGGTTTTGGGTCAGATGTCATGAATTATTCAACTATTTTTGCAAGATGACATGAGATAACAACTTTAATACCAAGATGCAGATATAATATTTTTTACTTTTAAAGAAACTGAAAAGTGCAGTTGTCAATCTATAATCATGCATTAAAAAACCTGAGTAAATAGTGCATGTCGTTGAAATTTTCTCAATCTTATCTGAAGTGTAAAAACTTGATAGTGGGAAATGTTTGCTGAGCCAATCAGACGTCATGCTTCAACTGAAGTTGAATTAACATGCGGTGTGAAAAAAATCCTGAATTCTGAGAATGAAGCAGACCTAAAATCACTTTTATTTTAGTGCTCCTTACTAGACATCATTTTCAGACACCATGGTCCACACAAGGCATGCAGCTCTTAACAAGGCTACAGTGCTTTGACAGGACACGCAGGACAGCCTGGCCCTGAGAAACACCGCGTCAGCAGCACAGAGTAACTGCAGGTCCGGGTTATCCCACAGCCAGGACTGCCTACATCCCCCCGTCAGTGGTGTGTACCTGAGGTAATGAGCCGGGACACTGTACCTGAATAAAATTCCCAGGAAAACACCTGGCCACAGGAGGGCGCCACTGCTTTACACTTAGGAGAGACTATAACTGGCGTTAGAGCATCACACAACCCAAGCCTCACACCTCCACACAGGGTGAAACGAGCAGCAAACGTGCCTGGTTGAGTGTGCAATGCGTCCAACGCAGCAGGGCCCTCGGGAGGGGTGGGAGTTGGGGGACGAGGAGGGTGTTTTTTGGGGAAAAAGGAGGAAGCAGTGCACTGACCACAGCACAGCAGCAGGGGCAGATAATTAGATGCAGGACAGAAGGGGAGGGAGGAAGGCTTAGGAAGATCCAAAGAGAGGGATGTGGAGGGTTGACAGCTCCAAGCAGAGTGCATGACAGGAAGCACAAAACCTTTTCATATTTTGTACTTAGTGCAACAGTGAGGAGGTGCTGACCATCACTCCGGCAGCTCACAGGATGTGGGGGAGGAAATATGGGTCAGGTTAAGGCTGCAGAACGGCGAGTGAAGGGTGGTCATGTGAAAACTGGAGAGGGGTTGAGGTTAAAGTGAAATATTGTACTCCCTCCACCTGGATCAGAATTCATAAAACCTGTTACTAGACTATACTTCTTTCACATTTGATACAAACACTTGTAACAGCTTTATTTTCAACATCTGCACTCCCTTCCTTTTTGTCAGCGTAACTAACGTACCATCATCGGTCTTCCTCCCCTGTCGTCGTCTTTGACCCCATATCTTGACCAGTGGTAACCTTTCTTTTATCCCTCAACCCCTGACCCCAAAGGTCGACCCTACAAGCGGTCGATCTGACCCCAGGCCCCCAAAAAGCAGCCGGGGGAAGGGGGAACCAGCGCACAGCCAGACTGCAGCAGGCAAAGAGCAGAGAGGGAGAAGGAGGTGGAGAAAGATGTGCACGCTCTCACCTATGTACTGTCCATTGAAATAGCCCTCACAGTCACAGTCCTCTGTAGGGAGGCAAGCAGGGAAAAGAGGGGGTAAGCACAGGGTAAAACACCTGGAAGAGTTAAGGAGTCGAGGAGTTGGAAGAGTTAAAGAAGGGTGGGAGAGGGGGGGCGGGCAACTGGCGCTAGAGAGGGCAGGCAGGGCGGACAACAGGCAGCAGGCAGGCAGACGGCAGGAGGTGTGAGTTCAGCCAAGAGACAATGAAGGAGCTCTGTCAGAGGCAATGGCCAATAACCGAAGATTTGACAGTAGGATAGAGAAGAGGAGGAAGAGGAGGCGAACACAGGAAAAAAAAAAGGTGGCTCTCCATCTGGAAAGGGGCCAGCTGTGAGAGGATACCCTGTGACCCTCACACAAACACACAAACAAACACACACATACACACTCTCGCATGTAAACGAGCCTGGCCTCCTCAAAAGCCTCACTTACAGAAACCCAGAAACCCTCAAATTCATGGTGTTAAATTCTGTGATTTTCATCACTTCTAATTCATGATGTACTGACTTAAAATTAATGACAAAAAAAAAGAAAGAGAGAAAACATCTCTAAGAGCACAGTGAGTAAGACAAAAATCACAAAACTGCAACTTGAAGTGCAGCAGAGTGAAGATGAGTAGGGAAAGCAGAACACAAGATAACAGGGAGTGAGCAATAGCAGAAGGCGCAGAAAAAAAGGAAAGCTATTGTTATCTTGACAACCCCTGCTTGGCTGGGCTTAAGTCTCCGGGGATGCTATGCTGCCTGCACATCACCTGGTACAACACACACACACACACACACACACACACACACACACACACACACAGAAAGACACACAAAGGCTAGGGAAAGAAATCTTCTTCAGGAGAGGAGTAATGAAGCTGGAGGAAGTAAATGTTCCATATGCACATCTCAATCGCACACAAACAAACCCTTATACACATTTAGGACTTGTAGCAGCTTTCCAACATAAGTGTGTGTGTGTGTGTGTGTGTCTGCAAGTTGTAAATAAATAATAATAAATTTGCTGTTGCACATGTACCCACCTTTATCACATCCTTGGTCAGCTGATGCAGTTTGGGACAAAAACACAGTGTCAGAACATTAGAGCAGGTTGACGTCAGCTCAGATTAGAAGAGAAAACGAATGAAATTTGGACATATATGAAACGAGGATTGTGGATGTTTAATTGAAAGATTTCGTTGGCACATCAAAGACAAGACAAGTGGGCGTGGATCCACTTTGAAAGTGCCCCTGCTGGGATTTAAGAGGAATTAATCAGAGAGCTGCAGGAGAGTGGAGGAGGCAGAGTGAGGGAGGAGTCCCCCAAGGGAGGCAGGCTAGCTGCTGCTGCTGCTGCTAGCTGCCATATTGCTAAGCTCTTGTTGTGTACCCGTGGCTCAGACCTAATCAGATCACATGCCGCTTAAGAGCTGCCACTCACATTGCTGCTTTACCTGTCATGTTTACACGTCGCCTCTATGGCATGGAGTGAGAAAGTGAGAAGCAGAATGTATTGTTGAGGCTTTGCTGCAGTGCTCTCTGGATCTGCTTAAGCTATGAATGCTGGACAGATGGACTAAAACATGAAAGAGATTAATTCATATCACTCTCCCTCTGTCTCTGTGCCCCTCCATCTCCCTCTCATGCCTTTTAAAAGCATGTCTACATAGCAGCATGCCAAGGACGGACAATGAATACTAATGCCTCTGAGAATGCCAATTACCAGCAGAATAAGGTCAATAAATGTCAACGGAAAACATGGCTGCATTTATCCAGCAGAGATATTATTGTCCTGTAATGACAGTGACCGAGTGTTTTAGAGAAAGGAGAGCTGATAGAGAGGAATGCTGCGGGTTCGTAATAGATGAGATAATGCTGAAAATGCAGAGGAATCCTGGGAAGCAGAAACTTACAGACAGGCTTTTTAGGCGATTTAGGATTCGGGAGCGTGCCCATTTTCATCCTGTAAGCCAGTCGCCTGGAGAGGAGTGTGCCGCAGAACAAAAAAGCAGAAGAGGATGGAAGCAAGGAGAGAATCATCAGGTGACAAAACCACAGAGAGCCAAAGGTGACGAGAGATTTGTAGAGAGGTGGCAGAAAAGATTACAGTACAGTACAGAGAGAAGAACTTATAACACTTTAACACATCATGGCCCCAGGGTGCTTTAATTCAATCAGCCCCCTACCCTACATTAGAGCAAGACACCCACACCAACAATGCAGTCCTTATGTCCTGGTTCTGTGGTTGTTCTCTGTCTCTCAGGGTTTATTGCATTTTATTTATTGTATTGTTTATATCTCTGTGGGATCTAACTGTCTCTTTGTGGCTATCTTTTGTCTTTATGTGTTATTCTTTAAAATCCTTCTGGGTAATATATTTTTAAGTTCAGTATTTTTGTGTCTCTTTGTTGTTGGTAGCCGTCCCTCCCTGGTTTTCTTTTGTCTCTGTTGTTTTTTAAAAATCTTTCTCACAGTCATTATCTGTTTGTGGTTGACGTATGTCTCTTGGTCTCTTTGTGGTTGTTGTTTCTCTCTCTACATTTGTGATGAATTTTTGTTTTATAGCGGTCCTGTTGTGCTAGTTTTGCGTCCCCTTGCAGTAGTACTGCGCTCTTAATGAAGCTGATGGGAGTCTCTGTGTCTCTCTGTGATCATTATTGATCTCTTTTTTAAGATTTTTTTTGTCCTTTATTTATTACAAGTCTCTTTTTGTCTCATTATTTTTCCTTTGCTTTGTTTTGTTTTTTTATGTCTATTTAGGAATGTTTTACATCTCTTTGCAGCAAAGTGATTTTTTCATACATTGGTGGTTGATTTGAATTCATTTTCTAATATTTATTGCAAAAAGATTTAATGGAATCGTTCATTGCCGTCTTTTGGACAATGGTGGTTAAATCTCTCTTCTAGATAAACTTCACCATTTCAGACTTCTCAGAGCTCTGACGGCTCAAAGGGTCTGTCTGTGTTTAAGCTGTGGTTATTAATCCTACAGACGCTGTGTGTTTGGCAGGGATCTCCCAGCCTTACTGAGATCATCTTACTGACAGATTATGACACAAACAGTATCAGCCTATTCAAGGCTGTGTTTAAAATGTTTGTCATGCTGCTTTGATGCTCCATCTAATCATATTTGACCCATCAAAGTGGAACACATGAATGTGGATTTAACGGATTATAAATGTCTGACCAAATAAATATCCGTGCTGTGTAGGTGAACAGACGACTGACGTGGGGGAAACCCGTCTCATCCTCGATGCTCTCACCTCTCCTGGAACAGTTTGGAGGGCACGAGTCCGGCTCGCAGGTTGCTGTCGCCTACACGCTTGGCCTGCCACCACGTGTGGTCGTCCTGGGTTACCACCTGCAGGATGTCTCCCCGTTTGAAGGGGAGTCCTGCTTCTTGGCAAGGTGTCGCTTTATCTTCCAGCGGGATGTAGTCAAACAAAGCTCTCATGTACACCTGGAATCAACAGCAAAAAGAAAGACAAAAGGATGACAAAAGAACTCATACCTGAATCCGTGGTTCACGTCTTTAGAAAAACAATTCATCTGGACTGCAAGAGGAAGAAGACCTTCAATGGTTTCCATTTCTTTCCTTCAAGTGCTCAGTGTTTTGAGCACGCTCAGTTTCTGATACCTGGTCTCACCTTGCTCTCCTTCAGGCGGTCCTCTTCTTTAATGGCAGGGATTATTTTCAGAGTGATGGAGCCCTGGGACTGGGACTAGATCAGGCACAGACAGAGGAAGTTTGGAAGAGAAGACTGTGAGCACAGCCCTCAATTACAGACAAGAACTAAATCTGCTTAAAGCTTAAAGGTATCCCGTGGAGGATTTTAGGTGGATTTAACTTTAATGCACTACCATTATACTCCGTTTTAATTAAATGAAATATATAAGGTGGAAAAAAGGAGTCAGCATTTAAATAAATATTTTTTTCAAGAACATATAAGTTAGCTTGCTTGTATTTTTGTAGTTGTTCATCATTTGTTTTAATAAAAAAATGCTTTTAAGTGCAATCAAAAGGCTACACAACAAAAAACTCTTAAAAGGAAACTAAACTATGAACTTACATCACTTTTACTTTTTAACCTCGTCAGCACAAATGTTTTCATACACTCAGTTAATTTGCAAAGAGAGATTGAAGGTAGGATTTGAACTGAAAGTCATGGTTCATTAGAAATAATTAGACATGTTACTAAAATGTTTTTTACTGTAATAATTCTCTTTCTTACCAGCAGCTGACTGATCTCATCAGGTCTCTTGTGGATCACGGAGACTCCGTTGACTTCTCTGAGTTCATCTCCTACATGGACCAAACCTAAAGAAAAAGGGAGAATGATATATAAGAAGGCAAGAACCTAGATTCTAATCAAAGTATCTTGATTGAACTTCTTGGCTTCTTCGGGCTTAATCATCGGGCTGCAGCCACAACAATGAAATCAAACGGAGAGGAAATGAGATCAATAGGCTTTCCTCCGTCAGGAGAGAGACGCACAAAGCAGACACACTGTTGTGCAATCAAACACACACACAGTTTAATGTATACAGTCAGCCAACACACAAAGAGGCCTGAGGCTCAGTGTGGAACGTCTCTGCAGCTTCTGTCTCATTTTTCATTTTTTTCATCACATGATGTGGCAAGAAAACGGAGGGAGCTATGAATTATTAATGGAAGTGGACATTGATTGGTTTACTATCCCAGCATTCATGTTTCTACTAAATCACACACACACCTGGACATGGCTGATATTTCAATTGTAGTGACCAACGTTTAATTGACACTCTGGGGAGTGGTGGAGTTTTAACAACAACCACAGTATCCCTCTCGTATTTCCCCTCCTTCTGCTGCTGCACCTTTCTCTCTCCCACTGTGGCTTTCATCTCTCTGTCAGAATCAGACTTTGATTCTTTTATCCACACAAACATACATATATTAATTTTTTTTCTTCTCATGAGCACACAGGAGCCTGCTTCGGCATCCTGGTCTCTGTTATGTAAATATGTAAATTATGTAAATATTCTGATTGTCAACCAAGCAGGAACATTTCTTTGTTTGCATGTTATCTTATAGAGTTTTTATTTATTTTATGAATTCATTGCGGAATTACCTCAAAGTTAGCTTCAGCATCAGTGGTTCTGAATAAAGTTTGCGATGATTTCAAGGTGTGGAGGTGTTTAAGTCTGTCAGTCTACGGTTTGGTGTTGGACATCAAGCACACAAACAGCTTTTAGCATTAAAAGACAAAGGAAACAGCAAAAAACAATGATGAGAACCTGATGAAAAAATTGTGAATGTCTATTAATCAGAGACCTAACTTGAATAATGCATCAAAGATGAATTAGTTAAACTCAATCATGGTGTTCTGGAGGTTAAGATTGTAATGTTGTTGACTTTTCTTGGGCTAGTATTCTTTCTAGAGTTAACTTTTTTTTTTTTTTAAATATACTGTTTATCAGGCTAAAGATAAAATAATAATAAAAAGCATGAATAAGATTACTTTTGATTCTTGGGGGAGGCAGACAAAGAGGAACATTTAGAAATGAGTTTTTTCGAGAAAGTATGTCTACAAAGTTAACATTTCAAAATGTAATATTTGAATCAGGAATGTTTACGCATAAAGTATTTTTTATGGAAGGCTTGTTTCCGCAGAATTTTGAGGCACACTTTTTTCCTACTCTGGTAATAACACCAGGGGCCCACCCAGAGGGGTCAGGGGCGGCATGGGCCCCCCTTGAAATCTGATTGGCCACCCCAGGTGCCACCTCAAAATCCCAAACTATAATTGTCTATTTACCTTATCCAGGGTCAGTAACAGGTATTCAAATGTGTGCTCAAACAGGACATTTGGAGATTTTCTCTTCATGACATCACAAAGGGAAGTAACCCCTCCTCCAGGTGGGTGACACTCCCTCAGCTAGGTGTTTGTTCTCACCTCAAAATCCCAAACTATGATTGTCTATTTACCTTATCAGAGGCAGGACTTAAGCTAAAATTACTACTACTGTGGTTGTGTTGCAACAGGCTGCTTAGTTCTCTCAGCTGTAAGTAAATACTGTGCACGTCTTTTTCATAAGACAGGTTCTTAGGAAAGGAATGAGCAAAGACAAAGATTTGTAAGCAAACTCCTGCACACTGTCTTACTTGCAAAGCACTAACTAGCAATGTTTGGGTGTTTAAGACCGATTCCCCCCTCGCAGTCCAGTGATGTGACAAGACTTGTATAAACAGAGACAGAATTAGTAAATGCAGTACTTACCACTGCGATCAGCTGCACCTCCTCTCATGATCCGAGCCACAATCACAGCACCGGTAGCTTCATCCCGCCTGATGGTGGCTCCCTGGAGGAAAAATAGAGGATCATTAGGAGAAAAGAAGAAGAATTTCAGTCCCTCCTCTCCCTGCAGGCGCTATTATTCTCTAATGCTATTCTTTCACAGCTCACCAGAGGCTCCTTGTTCTTCACCAGTCGGACGATCTTCACTGACTCTTCCTCCAGCTCATCCTCTAAGTCGTCTGGCAGAGGCGGCAGCACGGGGTCAAAGTTCTTCTGAGCCACAGTGTCGTGCACGGACAGAACGGCCTGATGCAAACAGAAAAAGAGACAACCAGGTCAGAATCTGATGTCCGGTTAAATAAAAACATCAGATGTGTTTCTTCTGGTTCTAATTCTAGGATAAACGCAGAAGTGTGTTTACCTTGAGATGTGGTGACGTCAGCAGGTGCAGCAGCTCCTTCTCCTCTGAGCTCATTGGTCCACCCTGCAGCTCCTCGGCCACCTGCACATAAAAACATACCTGAACCGTGAGCCCTGACCTGAAGTGAACCTGTGCATGTGTTTGCCAGTAATACTTGCAGTGGTTTACTGTAGAATAAACACAGACAGATACACAGACGTGCACACAGGGGGAGATAAGTGGCGAGCAGGAAAGGTCAGCAGTTTCCCCCTCACCGCTGCTTACTGGTGAGAGCAGCAGGAGATGGAGTTTCATTAGATGAGAATCAGGATGAGTCAGCACTCTGACAACATTAAAATTCACTTTTCATACCTGCAACGCTTCTCTGTCAGAGCTAACTCATTGTGACTGACTGCTGGGCCCGAGTGGAAAGGTAATTTAGGGCGTGTGTGTGCGTGCGTGCTTGCGTGCGTGCGTGCGTGCGTGCGTGCGTGCGTGAGATGAACTTACATCGTCTGCCAGAGAAGAGGCACTGTGAAGGACGGGAGTTGGACTCTGTCTCTCATACTGTCTCAATTTCTCGTGGATCTGTAACACAAACAGAGATGAGAGGGTTTTCATACAGATTTAAAAAACTGAAGGTTAAAGCTGGCCTCAGCAGTTTGTCTCGTCAACATACATAAGTTATCTAAACCTAAAGTGTGACTCCTCAAATACACGAGGTCAAACAAAGAAATGTCCTTCTCATACTTAAAGGGATACTTCACCCATTGAAACATGAATCTGTATTGGCATTGGTCATGTATGTAGCAAGTGTCTTTTTGGTTCATGAGGATGAAAGACACCAAATCCCAGAATGCACAGCACCGCAGGCCACTCCCACTAAGGTCCTCTATTTCAGAATCAGAAATACTTTATTAATCCCAGAGGGAAATTCGATTGTTACAGTTTCTCCAAAATACACACTATAGCTGTAATTTCTTCCAGAATTGACTTGGAAATTCCTGGCAGAAAACAGACTCTATGTCTGTGTCCATAGGCAAACAGTGAGAGCACCGACTCTACCAGTCCGCGCCAGCTCGAGCCGGCCCTGGCTCCTCGTCCTCACCGCCGCGGACAGGCAGGCCTTATGTCCCGACTGCTGAGCTGGCAGTGGCCCGCGGCGGCCAGCAATATAGCCGTGAGACGGTTGCTGCCAACAGGCCGGTCTTGTGTTGCGGCGGCTCCGGCAGCCGGCGGCCATTGGCCACAGCAGCCAAAGCACATGTCTGGCCTGTCGGCAGCAGCCATCTCGCCACTATATTTATATTTTTTCGCCATTATCAGCTTTCTCCATAGAGCCTGTTAGCATAGCTTCCAAGTAATATGGCGGACGTTAAGTTTCGATTCTGGGAGTGAGTTCCCACCCACTGATCTGTGATTGGTCTGTAGCTTCAGTGGTCGAAAATATGAGGAACTAGTGTTGTAGTTTCACACCGCTAACCGCAACAGCTTCCAGTGACGCAATATGGCGATATTTGCGTCACTGGAAGCTCCTTTTCAGACTTAGAAATGCAGAACTTTCCAGTCTCAGGGGGAAATGAGGGCTGGATGCACAGCCATTCAAAAATACTACCAGTTTACTTCTGATACAATGCTTAATGCAAATGGGTGAAGTATCCCTTTAACACGTTTCCTTGACATTTTTCCAGATAATAGTTTAAACACTGCATTGTTTACATCCATTTTTGCTGGTCAGCAGCTTTTTCTTCTTCTCTTCTTTTGCTCGTGCCTTACCATGTTTCTATGTGCACTACTGCCACCTATTGTTGGTAGAAAAAGCATGAAACCACTGGAGGTGGTGGGTAATGTATGGGTCAAGATGCATGTGCCTCTTTTAAAATATAAAGGCGCAAAGGAGTGTAGTCAGTCATAAAGGTGCTAGAATTAAACATTTAAAATCCTTCCAGAGATATGTGTTTCTGTGTGAGCTTTCTCCCAATTTCTCTGAAATGTTCTGTTCTTAAGATGTGCAGCTAATTAACCAGTACAAATTGTTGTTGCTTACAGTAAGCTGACTATAGGCCAGTTTAATAGAAAAACTGAGTACATTTTCAGGACTTCTCAGGATTAAAAAATCTAAATATCCACTCTTCCCCTTATTGGAACTTTTCTGAGAGCACATTAAGAGGGACTTAATTTAACAAACCTTTCTATTCAGACAGTCCTTGCACAAATATGAGTTAATCTTAGAAATTGATAATTTACAAAATAAGCTAATTATGACCAATATTCCCTCTATTGGCAGTATCAGAAGTGAGATATGATAGTGTGAAAATAAGTGTAGGGAGAGAGGATTTGTTCAGGCGCGTAAGCAAAAGGTTTCTTCTCCCTTATGACATCATGTAGTAATGTACAGTAGTTCTGCAGTTACAGCTGAAGAGAAATAAGATTTTAACAGTAAAAAAAAAAACTAAAGTTGCGGCTGGGTTTTTATTTCAGAAATAAGTCTTGTTTTTCTTTTGCTGCAAAAAAAACAACTTGTTACTGCTACTTTCCCTTAATGATTACAGGGATTTTTTTATATATAATGCATGCCTAAAATAGTATGATATTGTGTACCATGGTGCGTTGAGATTCATAACAAATGTTAGGGCCCAGACTCATCAGTGTACATTGTATGATTGAGTTAGCTGACCTGCATTGTCTATGCATCGACAGAATCATTGGCATGTCCTTATTTATAAGGCAATACTTCACCAGGTTCCCTACTTGTGAAACTGTATTCATGTGAAAAGTGTTGGAAACCACAGTGTTCGCTCTGCGGCCTAACGTTTTGTTATTATTTGTCCACGTGTTGAAATGGGGAAAAGGAGTTTCAGGAACGCTGCTCCTGCAACCTGGAATCTCTTGTTGGATGATTTGTGTGTGGGAAAGCTGAGAGCTGTGACTTCTAATGCAGTTTGATTGATTTGTAATATTTATCTTTGGTATTTATATTATTATTGACTAAAGCTAGAATTGTATCATTCTTTTTTGTCAAGGCTGCTTTAGTTTATTATGCTGTGTTGTGGAATGAAGATGCAGTGAAAAATAAAGAATAGAAAGACGTTTTTTATAAATGGCAATGTGTGATGGATGCAACTGCAAAACAATGCATATTTAAGAAAGTAAATTGGTTCATAGGAAGTAAGAAATTGTATTACTTATTTGATTCATTGTCAGAAATGTTTTACAAATGTTTCATTTTCAGTGAGTTAAGGTATATAAAGACATGACACACTTGTCTGGTACACCTGTATGCTGTCATTGTGGTACTGTAGTCATGGATAAGCTTTGTATTCACTCATTTAGGTATGAGCACATGTTGACATTTCTAAATGTAAATAATCACATCAAATCCTGCAGTAGTAACAACCTCACCTTCATGAGGTATCCCAGGCTCCTCTCACTGAAGACGTCTTTGAGGAAGACCATGTCCTCTTTGTGATTGGCATCTGGCCGCAGCTGAGAGGTCAGCAGGGCCAGCGTCTCATGCAGCCCTGAACAAGAGAGGTAGGACGAAGGAGACCAGGTTTAAATTTAACATGAACAGATGGAGCACAGCGAGCTTCATGCTGTCTGGACAGTATGTGTTAGGCATCTGACCTGCTCCTGCTGTGAGGACCGGCATGGCCTCTTTCATGGGTCAGTGAGGTGAGGGGGGGGAAGAAGCCTGCGAGAGAAAGAAATACAAAACATTTCAATTCAGATGCTGGCTGTTGCTTTTAAATTCTGCAATTAATCTAGTCATGACTCTCTATCACAAACATCACAAAAAGAAAACGGTAATGGTGAGCATGTACTACTGATGTAAAGGCATCTGGAGTTAGACCCATGTGTAGTACATTTTACAGCAATAGGCTATATCCTCCTTTAGGCTTCAGGCTTCAAATCAAAGCTGCAATTCCAATCTAAGAGTGCAGTTACCTCATCTGTGATTGTGTGGGTGTGTGTACATCAACTGCTCACATTATAAAGATGTAGTAGTAAAATAAACAGCCACTGTTGGTCCTATAAATCACACAGAGTCTCACTACGCTCTCTGAGCTGTGGGATGGTTTGTATGAGTGCAGGGGAGGGAGATAAACAAACCAGTATGTTTTTAACTAAGGCACTATATAACACAGATTTTATATACCTGACAGCTCATTAATTTGTAGCACGTATATCATTCTACATACAACTATGATGTAAATTTGTCTTAACGGCTCTACCCAATAAAACAACTTTTACATCGTTCAACATTCAAACTAGCTATTGACACGATGAATCTATTGGGGATATGTCTACGCATATGTTGAGGTAGTATATCAGGGGAGATGTTGCCGCATTTTCCCCATCTGATTTCATACGATAGGACTTCTCTTGGCACCAGTGGAATCACCCCCTACTGGTCATTAGAAAGACTGCAGGTGTAAGGCACTTCTGTTATACAGTATCTTCTCTTTTGAAACCAAAGGCAACATTCACATCTTTTATAAAGTCTTGAAAAGATCAGAGTCAGACCAATTGTGGTTTAAATGATGATGCCAGTGAAACAGTTTGGAGAATAACAATTTATTTATCCAGTGATAAATGGGCAACACAATGTCAAGGTACTCTATCCATGTTGATATGTTCTTGAAAACTATTCATGGATTATTTGGGACCTCCATAGCTGGCTAAACAATACCTTAAGAAGAGATGTTTCTCGTAGTATTGACATCACCTTCGAGAATATCCGTACTCATAAGTGGAAATCTGCATGATTGATTCAAGGCTGCAGACAGCTAAAATGTTGTATAGACAAGTGGATTAGTGCAGCCCCCACTGATCAATAACCCTGTCACTTCACTCAATATTCTCCATACTTCCTCCCCAATGGAAACATGAGTCAATTACAAAAACAACCAGACTCCATCATATCATGCCCATGGTCACGGAACAGTTGGAAAACAAGAGTTGGACCCATTTGCAGATACTAACCAAAATTATTTATTTAAACAAAAAGGCAAAAAAAAACTTACTGTCTTCAAAAACCAAGAAAGGAAAAACACTGGGTGTCATGAGGAATCACAAAAACAACCGACACTGAGAAACTCTGACAGCCGACAACTGACAAACACCAATGATCTGACCCAGAGGGGAAGAAACACAGAGACTGAATAGACATGGTGTAATCAGACACAGGTGAGACCAACAAGACACAGGTGAAGACAATGAGGGCAATCGAAACTGGAGGGAAACACACACAGAGGCAGGAATAAACACAAGACAAGAAACACTGAGGACAACTGCAAAATAAATCATGAAACACTGAAGACAGAGAAACCCAAGAATGTAACATCAAGACACACTCGAACACTAGGATCACAGATTATGAAATAAAACAGGAAACATTAAATATCAAACTAGGAAACCACCAACACTAGGAAACATTAACACACAAGGGAAACGAGCACCGGGGAAGAATGAAAACTGAAACAAGATAAAGTAATCTAAACTCTGAAATACAAAACTAAAACAGACCAAATCATGACAGCTATGGTCTGTGGCAAACAGCAAGCTGATGTCACAGAGCCAAAACAAGACAAAGCTGCTATACTGTAAGATTATTCACATTCACATTCAGTCAGTTATATGAAACATCCCTACTTATGCACATACAGTTTGGTTTTACATTAATGTTGAGTACTGTATGGGAAAATTCAAAGATGCTACAGGGTTGTTAAAGTTCACTTTTCCCTGCCTCACATTATAAAAAAAATAAAAAAAATAATTAAGCTTATACGCTGGAGGAACATCAAGGTTAATATTCTGACTGTGAAGAGGAAGAGACACGTTTACTTAACCTCTCTGGCAGTGTAGAGCTTCTCTGCTTTATATGTGTCAATAAACATAAGCTTTATAAGAGATGTATTCAGTACATGTCACCGTATCTAACACCTGATGGAAGCCTGCCACGGTGATGCATCTCTTTGTGCTGTGTTACCTTGCAGAGACACATCGCGCTTCTTCAGTTAAATACATTCAAGTGTTTCAAGGTCATTCCCATGTGGAAACCTGCTGCTTTCCAGCATATTCTTTACTTTCAGTGTTTGATTAAAGCTGCTCCTGTGATGATTAGTCCCCGGTGTAGAAAGTGTGAAAGGTTGACAGTGAGGCTAAGATACAAATTTATCACACAAGAATGACCCTGATCTGAAATGGGAAGCCCAAACAGTGAGTTCATTTGTTCTTGGCCAAATGACCTTGGGGAATCTGAAATTACAATTATGGATAGTAGAATGTCATTGTTAGTGTCTTAAATTACATTTTTTAATATGTAGAATACAGTTCTGGCTAGGAGAAGTTTATCATGGATATCTACACTTAATTCATGATAGGAGGGTGTTTAGTTTAAATGTTAAAACGGCTCGTCATATTAGAAAAAAACCTAATTTTCTCTATGTAAGTCGAAATGTAAAGGAAGTAGGTCATTGTTGCAAAAATAACCAACAACTGGACAACAAGAATCTAGTTTTCAACAAAGCCATACTATTATGTCTATTAAATATACTCTCATGTTTTATATTGACATAAAAATGTAGAGCAGCAAGTTAAGAGTTACTGAATAAGCAAAGAGAACAAAATGCAAAAACTGATGCTGTCGAAAAACCTTTCACTTCACATCAGTTTCAGATGTCCGATTGTCTTAAAATCTAAACCAGTTACTTAAAGACACAGAATAAGTAAATTACAGCTGTGAATATAACACACAGGTACAGTATTGTTACTTGCATCATTTGTATAAGTGCAAACTTGCTAATGAGAAAACCAACAGCACATGATTTTGATGTCTCAGTATTAACATTCTGCTATTGTCTTGCTCTGAAAAGTGTCCTTGATCTTTGATGGTATATAATCATAATATGATTAACCTCAGCAGAGACAGATAGACAGACAAGTTCATGAATAATGTACAGAGAGGATATTACAGAGACAGAGAGGGGGACGAGGAGAAGATGAAGAAAAGAGGAGGAGGAGGAAGCACTTCTTTTTTTGTTCTGTCAGGAGAATCAACACACAACAGTCTGTTTTCAGTTTTGGATCGGCTTTTCTCAAGCTAACCTCCCTATATTTCACTCAGAGAAAAGAAGATATAAATAATTATGAATACAGCATTTCTTGAAATGAGAAAGTGCTTCATTCTGTACTTTATGCTAAAATGTTCTCGTAATTAAAAGTTTCCTTTCATCTCCGATCCCCCATCTTCTGACTGATAGAACTGATAGACAAATACATCAATGAGAAAATAACATCTTTACGTCCCTGAGAGTTTGCAGTCGCATATGAGGGGTAAAGACTCCCCCTGCATAAAACAAAGTGACTCATGCAGGTATGTTTACATGCTGTTTTTCTGGCTCTAGCTGAATGCCAAAACTCTGCAGACATATATGAGAAAATCTGATGATTAATATAATTCTATTGAAATATAGCCTACTTATTTTTAACAGCAACTGCATTATGTAAAAAAAAAACATAAAAAGATTTTAAAAAACCTTTTCAGAGGGAGCAAAGCAAAGTCTGATAAATTGCAGTTGGAGCTGAAGACTACAAGTTTGAGAGACAAAGTCCTACACCTCCCAGACTTCTCTGTTTCTCTTTTTGTTGGCGGCTAACTGCTAAAAGCTAGCTGCTTCCATCGTAACACTCCTGACTGTACGTGTTAATGTGGTAGTGTGGTGGTTTATAAGTATCTCTATGGATTTTTAATATTAGTAAATTCTGCGTACGCAGAAAAAGAAAAAAAAAGAACTCACTTCAAATATTTTTCATAACAGATTCAGTTTAAAGTATTTGCTTGACTTTTGCCATTGTTTTGGTGATTGGACTGTTGGATAATGTTAACTTTCAACATATCAAACTCTAGCCAGAGCTGGCTACAGTTGTGTTTGCTAACAGCTTAAATATTTAGTGAATCCCCAAATGTTTTTTTTTTATGTGGTAACTATGAATTTATTTTGTTATTTATTCTACAGTCACAGTTTCCTGGTGCTGCTGCTGCTGCTATAATCATTTTGAAAAAGATTAAATGGCAAATCGTCGTCATTTCAGTTTACTGAAGGATTTACTGATGCTTAGTGTTCATATTTGTATCACCATGTTCTTTATGTTGAATACGTTCAGGTTCAAGCCTGTGCTTTCAGAAACAGCAGTTCAGCGCTTTATAACCTTAAAAACTGTACAATGAACATCAAACCACCACACGTCACTGATCCAGAAATAGACTCAGACATCACACTCTCTGCATTTCATCCCGGCAAATATGACATTTTCAGTTCAAATCTAGTTAAGAGCTTAGCTGCAGATCGCACAAACATGCTGGAGCTCCAGTGAGGTCACAGAAGTCAGCTGATCACATAACAGCCTCCGTCACATAACTCTCAACCAGACACATTTAGCTAAAACTCAGACGGATCAGCTGTGACTATTGCACGGTTACTGCATGAAATACATAATCCTGTCTTATATCAACGAAATAAGTTGCAAGTTGCAAATCAAAATAACACTGCATTTGTTTCTCATTGTTGCTCATCCACACTTGGGACACTCATTCAGAAATAGATAAGTTGATTTTGCCCACTGAACACAAACCGACAAACTGAAACATCGTGCTGTTCCCTCTTATTTCATCCCACTCTCTCTTTTCTTCCTCCCCTTTTGTTTTTATTCATTCTGCATGTTCCTGATTTATTTTTCTCTTTGTTGCACTTTAAGGAGCTCATGGAGAACTTCTTTATCCTCCTGCTTTTAGAAAGCGGCCCTGGAGGTGCTGTGACGTCAGCAGGTTCAGCAGGTTCAGCAGTACAGCGATTGGCCCTCACACTCACAAGGGTTTCACCGGGCTTCAGAGTCGCTTTGATGCTTCATCCAGGAAAAGCTCAGCAGTAAGCGCTTCTAAGATTCTACAGAGCAGCCCCTACCATGCTGGAACTGAGCAGGGTTATAAAAGCTATACACCAATGATCATTTCATTATACATCATTGGATTATTGTAAATATTTCAACAAGCAAACAAGCACAGCAACTCACGTGTGAGTTACTTCCAATTCGGTCAAATATGAAAAAGAAATCCATTGTATGATGTGAACAGATGATGGGTTAAGGTTTGGCTTAGGCACAAAAACAACTTGATTGACTTTTTTCCCGGAAAGACCTGATATGGTATTCAATGACTGCTCTACTTCATCATCAGGGTTACAACAATCTCTAAAGCCAACGCTGTCGTCAGAGGGACGAAAAACTTTTTTTCAGGGCTTCAGGTAAAGCCAACAGTCTGACTGCAACTGGAGAAGCTAGAATGGAGACAGACCCTCTAAGAGCAGATCGTTAGCTGCACATGCATGCACATGTACGTTTAAAGACATTGACCAAAGCTAAATGATCATTAGTTGACCGCTAAGGGTCCAGAATTGCATTGTATTCCACTTCTTTTGTTCGCCACGTTTTTTTGTTTTTTTCTGAATGATACTACTCTGATAACAAAGGAAAACCAGAACACTTCCCAGACCAAAATCTGATCCCAAGCAAACTGATTCCACATTTTTATGCAAGAGCTGTAAATCAAGATTAATGGTTAAAATATTTAACATGTTGAAGGTGATGCAATGATAATGGTCGTTGTGTTTCGCTGTCGCTGCAGACAAAGTTAAAGCTCCTGTATGGAGTTTTTAGCTGGTTATGAAACAGACTGAAATTAATAATGATGCCTCTTCATATGCAAAATCAAATGTGAATATCAGCACAAACACTGACTCTATCAATATAGTTATTTTTAATGTATGATACTGCCGCCACAGAGTAAGTGTCAAAATTATTAACAGCACTCAGCAAGAAAAACAACTTTTTTACATTTTCCACAGGAACATTTCTTGATGAGTGATTCATTTGAGTGTTAAAAACAAGATGACACTGATTGTAAAAGAAAAAACTATACTAACACATGTTCAGGGGAAAAACAGCAAAAAGATAAGAGGTATCGATTTGTCCACAGAGGACATTCAAATCAACGCAAATCAAAAAGTTCCTTACAGGAGCTTTAAGTGCTGAACTAAAACATAGCTGTACTTTTTCTTAACGCTTTGTTGCATCTTAAATATGTGTTTGAAATAATATAACTGTGTTACTGTGTTTATATTTGGTTGTATTTCCTCTTCTATAGTGTAAAGTTTTTTTTTTAAATCAGTGTATTTTATTTTTGCTGTACATGTAAGGGTAAAAAAAATCAAAATTAGCAAAAGTTTCTGCACAACTATTCCACCGTTACTGCTTGGTCCTGGAGCTAGGCTGCATCATCACTTTTAAATATCAATACATTCAAAGATCATCACCTGGCTTCCTCCTCTTATCCCAGCCACTAGAACGCTTCATCACCTAAATGTCAACACATGCTGTTGTTGGGTTTTTTGGGGACATGCTGCTGTTTTTTTTTTCCTTGGGAGGATGTTTTTTTTTTTTTTTTTCTCAAGGTTGCTGCTACATTTCACCCTGCGTGTAAATATCTAAATACGTTTCAACACATAATGTGCCATCTGGAGTGGATATGGTGATGCATGTGAGGGTAAGGGGATCATCACACAGACCCTCTCATACACAACAGCTGTTAATAAAAAAAAATGTATTGTCCGTGATGCTGTGAAAATGCCTTGGCATGGAGACGCTGCAAACAACAAATGCTCATGAAAGCTGTTGTAAACAGGCTGCGTTTCAGAACAGGAAAAAAACCAAACTGTATCATTCTGAGCTGTGTGATTTCACAATATGGCTCCGAATTTTACTTCTGTACCGAAATTTGAATCATGGAGTAACGCCAGAAGCAGAAGGTTGGTTGACTATTGAGCACTGCAGCCTTGTGTTACTACAGCATCATGTGTACTGTATGTACTGACACAACACAGGCATATAAACACACACACACACACACACACACACACACACACACACACACACACACACACACACACACACACACACCGCTGAGGCTGACAACATCTTGGTCAGAACATGATGGAGCATCTTGGCTCACCTCCCTGAGAATGAACATCAACTCACACACACACACCAGCTAATCCAGTGCCTAGTGACAGTAATGGGAGGCAACACTAAGCATGTTTGGCCAGCATCCAACATGCTTTTCACACACGCACAAACACAAATTTGCCCGGACTTACACCCTTTACACAAAAGCACCCGTCATGTTATCTGGAGGGTGTGGTCAAACAGAAACTTATATCATCTCCAACATGGAGGGAAACTACTGATGCTGACAGCTGAGACACTCCTTCACTCAGATGACACACACACACGTTGACACACAACAGAGCACAGGCAGATGTTTTTTCTCTCCTGTTTCCCCTCCTCTTCCTCTCTCTGCTCTTACTTCCTCATGTCTGTACAGCATAATGCCGGCCCTCCATTCCTCCCTCCCTCCTTCTTCTCTCTCCCTCCTCCATCTCTCTGCATCACTCTGCAGTGCTACGGCGCTCCGCTCTCTGCTCATACAGCGTGTTGTCAGCTGGCAGACGGAGGAAGAAAAAGGAAAACTGGATCGCAGAGCATCCAGATTCCTTGATTGAGGTTGAAAGAGGCAAACGGTGACAGAAATTAGCTTTTTTCTCACCTTCTCTTGTCAGTGTTTCCTCCTTTTCCTGTCTCTCTGTGCTTGTGTCCCTCCTGACTGCAGCCACACGGTTCCTCTCGCTCTGATTCCTTCTTTTCCTCCTCCTCCTTCTCCTTTCTTCCTCCTCCTCCTCCTCCTTTGGGCTGCTGCTCTCAAAAACCTGCTGCCGCTGAGTGTCCGCCTCTTTCTCCTCTCTCTCTCTCTCTCTCTCTCTCTCTCTCTCGCTATAACAGCCCCTCCCCTAACCACCCTCCTCCCTCTTCATCTCTGGTGCTCTCTCCCTCTCTCACTGGGCTCAGCATCAGTGCAGGAAGACTGCTAAAAGAAGGCTGAGGTTTTCCATTTTGCCCTAGTTTATGCATCTCTTGTATATTATCTATAAATTCAGGTCACAGTGCAATGCATCAGTTTTTCAGATTTTTTTGGGGGCTTGTATTATCATCGTTATCATCCTTGTGTCATAAGCTACTTTTACCTAATAAGCTTTGTGTGAAGACATACAATTAAAGCTGCAACAATTGTTTCTTTTAAACTAACTATTGATCAAATGACTCTACATGAGTAATAAGCACCGGGTCCATCATCTCTATTCACATCTCTTAATTAAGTGGTGGCATGTGCATCTCTTGGCTAACTGAGCCGCAGCTGTTTGCTAGGTAGGACCATAGAGTAGATAAAGTTGTAAACAAGTCAGCAATTAAAAGGCATCAATTGCTTTTTTAAGTTTGACTGTTAACATTTAGATATTGATGATCATTTTTGATTGGACAAAAAACAGAAGGAGTGACTAGTGGACCAGTCGTCATGCGGCTGGAAACATAACTTGTACACTGATAACCCCTGTTGTTTAGAGCTTGTTCTGCTGTACACTAGTTATGAAAAAAAATCAGAATGCCAAATGTGAAAAAAAACAACAACTGTATTGATCCAGTTTGTAGAACTTCTTTTTTATTGTAATGTTTTAATGTTTTTTTTTTTGTTTTTTTTTTAGATATGCAGGAATTTAGCCATCAACAAAAACTATTGGCGCTAAAACTCCACTGTGATGATAATAGAGGCATGAAAAGATGGTTCCCAAGCGACAGCAACATCTTCTCTCCTTTCATTTTGGCTGGATTCCACTCTGTAATGTTGTGGTTTCTAATTGGATCTGATAGGCTGCCTCCGATGGACTGTTCCCCTCCCCCCCTTCCCCCCTGAGCTCGGCAGAACTAAGCTGATGTTATGGCAGTCCAACTCCAGCTCTGGAGAGGCTTCTCCCTCTTTGTCTGCCTGCATGCAGCTCATGCAGTGGACACACAGCATTTTTTTTTAATGATCAGTAACCCCCCTTCTACACACAAACACCAACCCTGACCCTTTATTCTCATGTTAATTGAGGGTGTTTCCACTCTGTCTTTGTGCCGCGGTGTCTGGACTGTCAAGACTCAACATATACAAAGAAGTGAACAGAACACACAAACATGCCCTGGACATGCAGACACACAAGATTTCACACAATTAAAGTGAAATCAAAAGCATTTTTTTTTTTAATGATATGTCCAAACTTGCTGAAGTCCCCAATGAGGTGATCAGTTTGGATAGTAAGGTTAATTCAAAATAAAAACAATCTGTGGTTTCTGTGCAAATATATAAGAAAGAAAAAGGAACACAACTGTTGTCCTGAAGCTGAAATCAAACTAAAGCTAAGAACTTTTAGACATCACCATGGATTCATGAACACAAAATATTGTTATTTATATGTACATGAAGGCTGCATGGTTAGCGCTCTTGCCTCACAGCGAGGAAGTTTCTGGTTCATATCTTTGTCGGTCAGGAGCCTTTCTGTATGCATGTTCTCCCTGTGCACAGGATCTCTATTCCTCCTACAGTCCAAAGACATGCTCGTTAGGTTATTTGGTGAATATCTGTCGCTATATGTCAGCCCTGTGATTGACAGGGTGATCCCCGCCTCCCGTCCAATGAAAGCTTGGATCGGCTCCAGCCCCTCACAAACCCGAACAGGAAAAGCGGTATAGATAATGGACGGCTATCTGTGTGAAAATGCTGCGTGAAGTTATTATATATGTTAAAGCATAATTATCACATTAGAAGGGAATATATTTAATTTATTCATTTAAGGTACTTGCTGCAAAATTGTAATTTTTGCTGACAAACTTAAAAAGACATTAATTCATAGATTTGTTTTGTATTAAGTAAATATACAAAAAAATACGGATACATTTAAATAAAAAGCTCTGGCCTTTGTCCTGACCTGAGCAGTGACAGTGTTTCTCTCTCCATGTCAGCTGGACGGAGCGTGGAACATCCCATTCATTACTCCAGTGGTCGTTCTGGGTCTTTGGCCAAATTGATTCTGAGACATCTGCTGACCACCTCCTCGGGGGAGCAGGAGAGGCCTGGTGAGAGGAGGGGGCCGGAGGTCTGAGCGGTCCTGTGACCCCGCAAACAGATCATAAACTGGATATATGTTCAGGTCAGCTCCACAGGCACCACATTGCTGGAGAGGACATCGGATAATGGGACACATGCTAGAGATTCTGGGAGCTATTATTCTGTGCCATGTTGTGCAGAAAAATGATGATATAAAACAAATTGGTGCAGCAAAGTATTAACATTGTGTCATTAAAAATGAAGTTGTGGCCTGGGATGAAATCGGTCTGTCTCTTTGTTTGTTTCACAGATGTCCCTTTAGCATCTTCTTCACTTATTCATTCTGTAGAAAGAATGACAGCGTAGAAATGTCATTCCTTTATGCTACAAAAAACAAATAAGTCATTTTTCATTTATGTTTATATCACAGTCTCTGAACAACATGAAAAAAACAGGATTCAAAATCTTAATGTTTGTCTAATAAAAAAAAGATTTAATGTTATCGCAAGAAATAACTGGAAGCACATGTAATCAGAATTGCCTGTTGTCTAAAGAACTACTCCTTTGTTGTTGTTGTTTTTTTTATGGGGGGGGGGTTGTCTTTATTTAGTAAGGACAGTGGATTGAGTATGAAATCCAGGAAGAGAGGCCCACCTAGAGGACTATAGCCTCCACACATGGGGAACAGGCTATCAGAGCCCCGTTTGTTTGTTCTTTGTCTTGGGAAAAGAAAATGTACAAGTTTGAAATAAAGACTTCAATCAGTGATTTGGATGTCAAAATCAGCCGAATGTGTGTTGAGCAATGACATGGACCCAAATGCAGATTGCACCAATAACAAGAACCGATCTGTGATTTTCATTAAATCAAAAATACAGACTTGAAGGAAAAGGAGGTAAAAGAAAGTAAAAGAAAATGATGATACAAATACAGTTACAGCTTCATGGTCTGGGTAGATGCAGGTGCCTTGGAAAGTTGCAATTTTAAGTAAATCAAAGTACAGAAGAGAAAGGGCTTAAATCAAATGCATTAAAACACTAGAGACTACATGAGACTGTGAAGTGTTGCTGATAATTGTGTCCTCCCATACTTGTTATTTTAACAGGGTTAGGTCAGCCTGCGTGTGGGGGAGGATTAATTGCGAGAGAAGAAGGTATCACCTGTCTTTATGACATTATCTCCAATCATATTTACTGTTCTCGCTTTCATCAGATCTCTGCTCTTTGTCTGGAAGTAGGAGGCTTAATGTCCTTTTAGTCTAATGTCGGCCTGGCGCCATTACTTTCTCACCATTCTCTCTCAGCCTCCAAGAGGCATCAATATGACCGTCCGTCTGACCTCACTGCATTATCTGCAGGCGCTCGACTCCTCCAAGGCCTCTGACTGCTCTCTTCTCTTCACCGTCTGAGATAATGACGGGGGAAGATGGGAGGATTACAAATCAGGTTGTAGCCAACTCAGTTACAGAGCCACTTTGAGACCATATTTCTGTAATAGTTGAATTTGTTTCAGTATTTTCCTGTTTAGTGGTTAAGGAAGTCCCTAAGTGAAGGGGATCGGAAGTTAGCGTTTGATGATTGTGTAAAGTGTATGTTAAAAAAAAGGATGAAAACAAAGAACAAAAAGAGAGTCAAAAAGTACCACATACAGGCACACAGAGAACGATGTCATGACACACTTTAACAACTAGGGATACTAATCCAACAGTGCGGAGATGCAACCACATCCAAAGAGAGACGACATCAACCACAAAGACATAAAAAAGAACAAAACTAAACAAAAACGGCCGCAAAGACACAAAAAAACAACAGTGAGGAGATGCAAAACATCCAAAGAGAGACGACATCAAACACTAACAAAGACACCGAAAACTAAGGGACAAATTAGCAACCACAGTGGAATATAGTTTCAGCCACAAAGAGACAAAACATTCTTTTTTTGGATAGAGTTAGTCCAGATCTACAAGGTTTCTTGGAAATATTTCATCATTTCATGTGCTTCAGCGGGTGCTGCAGGGAGGCATTAGTGAAAGTGAATTAGAGCCATCTGTGTGACTTAATCGAGGCTGAGGAGAAGAGGGAGAAAAGGCTGAGGAGGGGTAACGGCAGAGCGAATGAGCAGCAGCAGTAAAAATAGCAATAGCAGGTGGCTGCTGCCTCTTTTGTGAGCCTTTTGGTGATGATTTATGAGATTGTTTTGTTGGTTATTGTGGATTACACCCTTCAGTGTTTGCAAACTATCGTCTCCATCTGCTCAGTTATAATGACTCTCATCTTAACTTTGCTTTGAGGTTTATGTTACAATGTCATAGAACTGAGAAGCTCCACTGAGCAGTAACCTGAGAGGATGAACTTAATAACTTAATGTTATCAGTTGATTTTTAATATTTAGCTCTATCGGGGGGTTAGACAGAAAAGATCAAAACTTAAACTTTAACATAGAAAAATATAATAGAAAAATGATTTTCACCAGACCACAACAACAACAACAACAGTTAAAACATAAACATCACACAAAAAGTAAGGAAATGTGTGTTTGGTAGATTATTTCTTTGTTGTTACAATGCTTTTTTAAGGGACATTTTTAAGGAACATGCATTTGTGGGATGAGCAGCAGAGCTGAGTTTGTGGGTTGCGGCCATGAAAAACTTGCCAAATCTTCTATGCCAATGCCAAACAGCTTAGAAGAATATGAGAATACAACTTGGGCACAGTTTACTTTGATGCTTTATTTAGCCTTTACTTCTTAAACTTGTTATCATGTTGTCCTTCTTAAATGTGTTTTTTTTTATGTTTGAAAACCAGCAGATAGGTCAATTACCTTTCCCAAAACCGCTTTGATGAAATGATTTTAACCTACACAGCAAAAACCTGAGGATCCTAATCACAGAAAGAATGAGGGTAGAAGCAAATATTTACTTTGGAAACGTACTCAAATGACTTATCAAATATGTGGAAGGTTTTATCTGCAGATTGATGTTTAAGTTATTTAGTAATTATTTTCATCAGTATCTAAAATAATCCTTTGAAGTCCCCAAAAGTTGTGCAACTGTAACTATACTGTTTAAATGCTGTATTTAACAATAAGCTCACTGAACTATACAAATAAAGTTTATGTGTCTGTCTTTTCCTGCACTTGTAACAAAGAACGACATTTTCCCCCTAAGATTTCTTCAGTTGATAGTTGAACATGTGGGACTAAATCAATACCTCTTCTTATCTCACTGATCTTCAGATTAACCGTATATCTGCCCCTCCTTCACAACAGCCTCTCAGGGAGCAGGAAGTTCCTCAATTTGGCCGTCCACCTCTTTTGTCTCAGTGGCTCGATGCTTATTGGATTGCGTGCCCATTCCCACAACTTTAGCAGGTCAAATGACTGGTGGGGTGTGTAGATCACAGGCGCTAAGTAGTCTATCGATCAGTAAGGCTGAGCCGCCGGCCTGTTAGGATGTGCTTGCAGAAGAGCCAGCAGCAGGAAGGACGAACACATTCCTGCACAGATTAGAGCTGCTGCCTTGGCTGAAAGAGAAAGAACTTCATCACAGCGAGGGCAGAAAATCAACTGTACAGTATTAATCAGTCTAATTCATGCATTTGAATTTGAAAGCCCCGTCTCGTTCTTTCTCACAGGCTTGGGTTTTACTGCTCAGAAGTGGTGGAACTTTTTACCTGTATCTCACAAAAGATAAGAGAGGGAATTTAACGAAACATAAAGGTTTGCAGATTATTTTCTTATCGTGCTTTAAGAAGATCTGACCTATCAGCAATTTTGTTCCAAAGCTAGATCTTAATGAACTCTACAGAATCAAAAGATCCAAAGGAGGTTATCAAGCTACTTAATCTATCATCCAAATTAGCAGCTGCTACATAGACTCCACTCTAGTTATCCAAAGACTTCAGAAGAAAATCCATCATTTGAAGTCACTTTTAATACATTATGACTTCAAGTATGTCACAGGTTGTATGCTTGTTTAATGTAGCACTGTTAGTTCACACAGACTTAGCGGCTCGAGACAGATTCTCTCAATACACGCATTAAAGCGAAGATCTGTGAGTGTTTATGTACTGTTACTTAACCGATAGACAGATGAGTGTAAAAATCCATCCCTGCAGCTGGCATTGATTTTAAACCAAGGATCAGGGTGCTACACGGTAAACACATGCAAAGAGAAATCAACACACCACATGTGCATCTGATTTGTACCCTCTCACAGTGTGTTCCAGTGACCCAGTGCCCAAGATTAAAGGCCAGCAAAGCCAGATTTAGCCTCCAGCAAACCAAATCCCAGATTTTAAGAGGCAGTGACGACTCATGGACTCTAATGCCAAAGCAATGCACCACCAGCCAAGTTGACTCACACAATAACATAAAAACTCAAGCACTTTGTCACAGGTTGATAAAGTGCCACACAGCAGGCAGGGAGTTTCTGGGCAACATACATTGTCAACATCATCCCAACCACCAAGAATAATCTTAACACTGTGATTCACGAGGCCTTCGTTTAGTTAGGTCCAAAAGCCATCTGCATAATGTGCTGCAGCAGTATGAATACATTATTCAGTTCAAATGAGTGTGGTGATGTATGCAAAGGCATTTCAGAAAATGTAATGTTGAACTTTGCAAGCACACATTTTTAAACAAATGGAAAATGGTTTTTAACGTTTTGGTAGAACATGAACATAAGGAGAAGTCAGACAGACATGCTGTAGTCCTCAGTAAAGACTAAAACACACTGCAGTTGAGAGTAACAAGAAACAGTAACAAGAAACATACATTAAAACTATGAGAAGAATATAGGGGTTATATTGAAAACTGTCCTCAAATCGGTGAAATGGCAAATGGCTGAAATTAAGTACACTTTGAGTACTCTACCAATGGGAAGAGTCCAGCACCCTAAGGCACCCCAAAATGTATGTACTTTTGAAAGTACTACCCAGGAGGGGGGATCTTATCTCAAATAAGAACCATTTTCCTGTGATGATTATGCACTGAGTTCATTGGAACGACTCCTTTTGTGAAAACGCTTTATCAACTACAACAACAAACAAGTCTTTTTTATATTAATTTATTTCCATTGCATACACACACATACATTTGCTGCGCACACACATTCGCTGCGAGCAATCTTGAGTTCTTCAGAAAACCTGTACACACTTATAAAACAGTGCACTGACTCATACACACAAGGATAAATATATATCAGAGATTTAAAGAAATATACACAAGTGGTAATTGGCACATCTGGGAGAGGCTTCATCACCAGCTATGCATGTTTCCCTTTCTCTCAGGCAGACAATGAAAACAGGCACAAAGGGGTAGAAGTACAGATTCAACAAATACAGTTTGTATTCAGCTACATTATCAGTCCCTTTAAAAAATATGCTGACCCAGGGATCCAGCCCCTTAAGTCATTTATGATTTAAAAACATTTTTAAAATAATCAAACCTCTTAAAAAAGTATCTAACAGCCCCAGAAAGCCCACATTTAATTTACCTTTGATTTAAATATAAAACTGGCGGTAAACTTAACACACACACTTTAGTGCAACGAGCAACATCAGAAGCTTCATTTGAAAGAATACAGAATGATTTCTTTGAAGCGTAATAAACACACATGTCCCTTTAAAAAAACAGCAGGAGAGAAACAGTGACACCTTCTGGTTGTAATCGGCACCACTTAGCTCTTGTCAAAAGAGCAGACATGATGCACACATCACTGTTAAAATATATTTGCTAAGATGAATGAATCTCTTTGGTGGCTTTCTCCCTGTTAAAGTCGTCCTTTGTGATTGTCCTTTAATGCAAGTGAGTTCAAAAATGTTGAAAAACCTGGTCCTGCTCAGGAAATGTGCCTGCAGACCTTAAAACTTCAAATCAGTAATCTAGTTCTCATTTCAACATGGATTGTATCACCAACTGGCCTCATGCTTTCAGTTGTTCTTGTCATCTCCAGGTAGGAAGTAGGGGTTCTCATGGCCTTGAACCAGATACGAGTAACGGGATGGATTTTTACCTTTGAACGTCTTCAATCCATCCGGGTTGAGATCGTATGATCCCGTCTGAAATGTCATCAAAACTCATGTTAGTGTGTTTCAGATGGAGTGACTTCACACATTCACCACACCCATTCGAATCCACAAACAGATCACCAATCTACTCACGACTACCCCCCAACCAACATCAGCTGCGCGTCTTTGAACCATCAATCACTAGTTTTTAGCTTGAAGATGAAAGCACACTGCTTTCCACAACAATCAGAGTTCTCTCAGGAAGCTTCCCAACACCCAGAAACCCCTTCCACCGGGATTCTCACTATGGTATGTCTAAATCATCAGCGGGAGGCATCAAGGCAAATCAGAATCTAAAAGCAAAGCCATGCCTTACCTTTTTCCATCCGTTCTGCTTCATCTGAAACCCCTAAAGCAACACACTGGGAGTCAGGCCAAGCAGGGAGCATGGGAGGGAACTATATACTAACATTGCATAAATATATTATTGGGTTAGAAGTGTTGGTGGACTGATATTATGATCATTAAAAAAATCGTGTCTTTCACTTAAATGACACAGGATGAGCGTGTGCCAAGTGAGCATGGACTTGTTGATTTGCAGGTTGAACAAAAATGATGAGTCATGATATGAAACTAAGCTATATTTGATAGAAGATCAGTGTAAAGCAGGTGCAAAGCACACACTGTAATGTGGTCATTAAACATAAGACCTACATGTGTAGAACAACTTTTCAACTAATAATGTGTTTTTCACCTACAAGTCACCAAATCCATGCTTACAGGGTTAGTTAGTGGTTAATAAGCAAATGCAACCTGGATGCATGATGGTGGGGAAACACCAAAAGAACTTGATTTAGTGGAAGACACAACGCAGGGATTAGTAGTAGGTAAGTCAGACAACAGAGACCACAGAAGAACATCTGATGACTCACCAATCCGTTGGTCTGATGCTTTTGGTCTACGAGGGATCGAGTGTTGCCCCCTTCTGTCAGCTCTATAGACGGAGCTGCATCCCAGTTGGTGGTGGCCCGTGGGATGGGCGTGATGCCAGTGGGCCAGGGCTGGTTTTCTTCGCCTGATGAATATGGACTGCTGCTGTGGTCTGGCTTGCTCTTTAAGCATCCCCTACTAATGTGAGAAAAAGAGAAGGTAACATTTGCCTGCAGAATTAAATGATGCGACAACAAAATTTGAGTCTATTCTCAAAACCCTCCGCTCCATTGTCAAAAGATAACGAAAAAGTCTAGTTCATTATTTGACACATTAACATTATCATCATGCTGAAAAATGTATGGTACTTAAATGACATTTTCTCCTGTTTTATTTTTGTAAAACTCTAAAACTCCCAGCTCTTCCTTTTCAAAGCTGTAATTTTGCATCCTGCTTTGTGAAATGTTTTCACTGAAATCTGCTAAGGGCCACAGGCGGTGTAGAGAAGATTCAAAGTATGAAATAAAATGTCAACTATTACACCTTTGTGTCCCATATTTTCTCCCATACTTAAAGGGACAGAGTAATGTTTTTTTAGGTGCTGGTCTTTAATTTTTGGATAATAAGAAAAACACAAACTAAGACAACCTTGCCTTAAGATAATTGTGTTATTTGTGTAAGAAGAATAAAGGTAACTACAGGGACATTTTTTTATACTTTTTAAAAGTTCTTTATGATCCGATAATTAGAAACAACAAAACCAATAATTAGAATTTTAAACTAGTGTCAGTCAAAACTTACCTTTGAGACAATATTATAAGCATCATAATAAAACAAATGTGCTGAAACAACACTTTTATGCATTTAATATATCTTAAAAGACATATCCTTCAACTAAAATGTAACCCAGAGTTTAAACATTTTAGACATACTCTATGTTTTCATGGAGCACAGCGTGTTGACATTTCTTTCAATTCATCTACTTTATGGATTGATAATATGCTCAGTTGGCAAAAGGAAATAAATGCTAGAGCTCTTTGTTTTCAGAGAACTTTCTTTTTTTTTTATATATTCTCACCAGCAGAAGTATATGAGCAAAGCCAGGACCATGATGAGAAGAACTCCTCCCAGGACACAAGAGATGACTACCACTGCCAGCAGAGCAGCTATCACACACACATAAAGACAAATGAAGATTTTTGTAGGTCAGCACATTACTACCATTCTGCTTCACCATTTATGTTTCAAAACAGTGTTACTCACAATCATTGCAGTTAAAGCCAGCATATCCAAACGCGCACCTGAGAGGCAAAACAGACCATATTTGTGTTTCAGGACTGTGCTAAAGCAGAGTAAAGGAGGTAGACAATGGATCCACATGGGGGAGCTAACTTCACATCAACATATACCAGAAACACTCAGTCAAACACCTGAATATACAAGCTTACCTTTAAAACAAAATGAAAAATTCATACTCACGGTTGGCACTTGTCTCCCACTGCCCTCTGCCCACTTGGACACGCTAAAAAGAGACACACAATCATTTACATATACAAAAAAAATGTTTACAAAGAGACTAAAACAAGAACACAACAAGCTAGAGTTTCAGGCTCGGCCACAGTTAATGGAGAAATTCAGAACGCCTGGCTGCACAGGCAACTAAAACATGAGAACAATGAGAGCCTCTTCTTATGAAGGCCACATGACGACGATACTGTAAGCCCTGAAGAGTACATTATGCTACGCTTTGTAGCATATTTCATGGGAAATAAACTGTGTGACAATATTTCTATGGATGCCTTATTCTTTATAAGCTCTTTATATAGATGATCTCCTTGGTCTAAGCCCTCCGCTGATGGAGAAAAAAAAAGCGAATCTTCCACGGGTTTCCTGGGAAACAACCTCTTTAAAAAGAAATACATTTGAGAGATAAATGAGTTAAGGGCCAAGGGTTGGCTTGGAGAAAAGGCTACAGCTCTTGACCTTGTCTCTGAGTTTCACTCCCTGTTGTTTCTCCCCCTCATTCTCACACACAAGAATGTCACTAAGGATTTTTTGTTAAAGTTCCTTTAACTGTGGATCAGCTGGGAAAACGTCACCAGAGCCTTTCTGAAGCACTGTGGGTTATCAGCTCCTATGGTCTACACATGAGGCTTCAATTGTAAATATGCTTTTCTCTTTCAAACAAAATGACTACAGTATGTTCCGGTCTGCTTCTTGCTGAATCAATAATAATATGTTACCTCTGCAGCTGGTGTTTGAGTACATGATGGAGATGTAGCCCTCTTTACAGGAACAAACAGCCCTTCCTTTTGTATATGTGCATGTTGTAGTGGCATCCTCGCAAGGTAATGGCTCCTGCTCACACAAGTTTGATCCTAATACAGGCCATATAAACAGTATAGTATACGTGTGTTAGAAAATCACTTCTTTAAGTACTCAATTATAGGATAGTGTACAATTCGTACTTACACTAAATGTAGCATTGGTCAACAATACATTTGATCCTGCTGACTTTCTATGGCCACCGTAATCAATTCATCAATGGATTCTTGAGTGGCTTCGGTTTTTTCAAAGATGTTATTTAATGTTGATTGCACACTTCCTTGCCTATTGGATTATAGAATATTACCCATAAATAAATAACATACGACTGTAACATGACCAAATTTTATTTTTGCAATTGGAGAAAGAAAATAAATACTCACTCAAGCCGCACAACATCGGATCGTATATAACCAGGCTCATTTTTAAGGGCATCTCTGAGCTATAAAAGGGTAAAAAAAGAAAAACAGTTTTAGTCACTGAAAGAAAAGCAATAGTAATTTCTTAAACATGCTTCCTTCCTCAAAACTTACAGCTGATGATATACGAGCTGCTGTAGTCTGGAATAAGGTTGAAGACCTGTTGCTCATTTCTGGATCAAATGTTAAGGAGACGAGATGAAGCTGGCCTGGGAACACTTGGGCTGAGTGAAAGAAGTGTAGAAGAGGATAAAATAAGACTCAGAGTCTAACTGATACAACTCAGAAATTAAATGGTGTTATGTTCTGACCTGGTTCACAGTTGCCATTCAGCAGGAAGCTACCAGAGAGACACTGGCAGGTGCCATTAAGGCAGACACTTCCAAAAGGACAGGGAACAGATGGACAAACTGATGAGAGATAGAAAAGATGTTTTACAATTGGATGTCAGACTCTTTCTGATGTGAACTGATTTTTTATAACTCTTTTTGGTAACTTCGGGGCAGAGAAAACATTGTGAAAATAAAAAATGACATCCTCACTTTCAAAAGTTAATGTGACGAGTTGCATTTACATAGCTCATTGACCGATTCAACATAGAATAAACATTATGTGTTGCTGGCTACAAGGGCCAATGACAGTCCAATATTCGTTTTCTTCCTAACTTTCTTCTGAATGGAAATATTTGACTTCTTAGCTACTTAATGTTCCAAAAAGCTTACCAGCTAGTCGCTAACACTATCTGACAGCTGTCTGCTGCTTTGCATTGGGAGTACAATGGAGCTCTGTGAAAATAAGCAACACTATGACAGTCATGATTGTCTTGATTACCAACTTTTTTTTCACGTTAGAAGACATTCAGGAGAAGCTGGTTCTTGTGAATGAAGGGAATAATTACACCAGGAAAAATTTGGCTACCCATTTCTTTCACTGGATAATCTTTTTCTGATTGAGTTGATTAATCAAAGTCTCTGCTGTTGTGTTTCTTTAGGATAGAGCCTACACACACCTGGAGCCTAATGGGCATCCAAACAAAAAATTAGATAGAACCCAAGAAAGTTACCAACCTACTAATGGACCCAGGGTAGGAATGGAGGTGGCTGCTGTAATTGGGTTGTTGGTGGTGGTATCTGTTGGTTTCCGGGTGGTTACAGTGATGGTGGTATCAATACTGTTGGTGGTGGCGGTTGATGTAGTGGGGGAGGTTGGAGTTGTTGCAATTGGAGTGGTGGAGGAGGTTGTGGGGGTGAGGGAAGTTGGATTGGGGATGGAGGTTGGAGTGGTGGTTGAGATTGTCATGTTGGTGGAGGCTGGAGAGGTGGTTGGTACAGTAGTGGTGGTGGTGGAGGTCGGAGTGGTGGTAGAGGAAGGTGTAGCGATTGAATGTGGAGTGGTAATGGAGGTAGGAGTGATGGCGGAGGTTGGAGGGGTAGTGGAGGCGGAGTTTGGATGGGTGGTGGTGTTTAGAGTGTTGGTGGAGGTTGGAGGGGTGGTGGAGGCAGAGGTTGGAGGGGTGGTGGAGTTTAGAGTTGTGGCAGAGGTTGGAGGGGTTGGAGGGGTGGTGGAGTTTAGAGTTGTGGCAGAGGTTGGAGGGGTGGTGGAGTTTAGAGTTGTGGCAGAGGTTGGAGGGGTGGTGGAGTTTAGAGTTGTGGCGGAGGTTGGAGGGGTGGTGGAGGCAGAGGTTGGAGGGGTGGTGGAGTTTAGAGTTGTGGCGGAGGTTGGAGGGGTGGTGGAGTTTAGAGTTGAGGCAGAGATTGGAGGGGTGGTGGAGTTTAGAGTTGAGGCAGAGATTGGAGGGGTGGTGGAGTTTAGAGTTGAGGCAGAGGTTGGAGGAGTGGTGAGTTTAGAGTGGTGGCGGAGGTTGGAGGGGTGGTGGAGTTTAGAGTTGAGGCAGAGATTGGAGGGGTGGTGGAGTTTAGAGTTGAGGCAGAGTTGGAGGGGTGGTGGAGTTTAGAGTTGGCGGAGGTTGGAGGAGTGGTGGAGTTTAGAGTGGTGGCAGAGGTTGGAGGGGTGGTGGAGTTTAGAGTTGTGGCAGAGGTTGGAGGGGTGGTGGAGTTTAGAGTTGTGGCAGAGGTTGGAGGGGTGGTGGAGTTTAGAGTTGTGGCGGAGGTTGGAGGGGTGGTGGAGTTTAGAGTTGTGGCGGAGGCAGAGGTTGGAGGGGTGGTGGAGTTTAGAGTTGAGGCAGAGGTTGGAGGGGTGGTGGAGTTTAGAGTTGTGGCGGAGGCTGGAGGGGTGGTGGAGTTTAGAGTTGTGGCGGAGGCTGGAGGGGTGGTGGAGTTTAGAGTTGTGGCGGAGGCTGGAGGGGTGGTGGAGGTTGAAGTGATGGATGAGGATGTTTCAGCTGGCTTAGTCGTAGTAGTTGTTTCTGCAGTGTTGCCAGTCACTGTAATCATAAATAACATGTAGGATCAATCAAACAGCACTTGAAGAAAAAACAAAGCCAACACCATTGTAAAGAAGTGTTACCATGACTACTGACATACAGCACATCTTGTTTTATAAAGCAAAAAAAGGGAATAGCATCCCTTTAGTAAAATTACTTAGTGCAGCCTTTACTCATGATACAAATCCAATGCTTTCTCACCTGTATGTTAGAGTATATTATTTTGTAAGAACACACACAGCAACACTTATCAAGCTGTAGTCCTACCTCTTGGGGTGTTTGTTGAGGGAATAAGGGTGGTGGTATTTCCAGTGGGGGAAGCGGTGCTACTGCCTGGGGAGGTGTTTGGAGGGAGAGAGCTGGAGTTTGAGGTGGAGGTGGGTGAAACAGGTGGGGATCCAGTGACAGTGGAGGATGAGGGTGTGGTGGAGGATGCAGGAAACTCAGGAGAGGTGTTAGCAGAGTTTGTTATAGTCGTTGTAGACATATCAGGCGTTACAGTACTTGTTATTGTTGTGCTGTTGCTGGAGTGCGTGACTACTGAAGATGGACTCAGCTGTGTTGTGGCTGTAAACGAGGTTGTGTTGTGGTTGGTCTGAACAGTTGACGTGATTGTCGGTGTGTTGGTTACAGTTTGTGTCATTGTGGTGGTGTTATTGCCTGCGTGTGTGATTGCTGGTGTTGTAGTTGTGTCATTACTGGTGTGCGTGACTGCTGTGCTTGTAGTTGTTTCATTGATTGTTTGTGGGGTTTGTGTCATTGTTGTTGCACCATTGCTTGTGCTTGTGATCGGTTTCATTGTCGTAGTGCCAATACTGGCTTGACTGAATGGTGTCACTAAAGTTGTGACATTGATAGTTTGTGTATGTGGTGTCATAGTGGTTGTGTTATTGCCTGTGTGTGTGACTGCTGTCAATGTGGCTGCATCTTTGCTGGTTGGTAGGATAGGTGTCGTTGCAGTTGTGTCACTGTTTGAGTGTGTCAATGGTGGTGTTGTTGATGTGCCATTGCTTGTTTGTGTATAGGGTGTTATAGTAATTGTGTCTTTTGTGGTTCTTGTGTCAGGTGTCAATGTTGATGTGCCATTGCTGGCTTCCGTAATAAGTGTCACTTTGGTTGTGTCTTTGCTAATGTGTGTGTTTGGTGTCATCGTCTGTGTGTTGCTGCTGCTGCTATGTGTGACAAGTGTCACTTTACTTGTGTTGTTGTTTGTGTGCGTGTAAGGTATCAATGTTGTTGTGTCAATGCTGGTTAGTGTGATGGGTTTCATTGTAGTTGCATTGTTGCTAGTTTGTGAGATGGCTGTTATTGTAGTTGTGTCTTTGTTGGTGTGAGTTGTTGCCGTCATTGTGGTTGTCTTGTTGCTATTGTGAGTGATAGATGTCATTGTTATCCCAAGGCTGGTTTGTGCCAATGGTGCCGTTGTACCTGCATCATTACTTGTGTGTCTTGTATTGCTTGCTTGTGAGATCAGTGTCACTGTGGTTGTGTTGTTGCTGGTTTGTGTCTGGGTCTGTGGTATTGTAGTCCTACCATTGGTGGTGTTTGTCATTGGCTCACTTGTGGTTGTGTCATTTCTGGTCAGTGTGCGATCTAGAGTTGTAAAAGAAGTCTCACTGGTGTCGGTGGGTTGGCTTTTCTGTTGGCCTGCTGTGGACAGTGTTGTAGCACCGGTAGAAGCAGATGGAGAGGCATTTGGGCTTCCTGTGGTGGAGTGACTGATCTTTGTCACAGGGCTCTGGACTCCAGCTGTTGTCATGGACTCGGTGCTTGGTTGGGAGGAAGTTGTGTCTCTATTGGTTGGTCCAATAGTGGATTCTGTCATAACATTTTCTACAGTTGTTGTAGCAACTGAGGTTGTGTCGTGCACTTTGGTTGAGGCTGGTGAACCTGTATGACTGCTGATTGTGGGCTTGCTGCTTGGATTTGAGCTTGCAGTTTGTGTCAAGTGAGGAGTTGGGGATGTGTCTTTGGCCAACCCCCATCAATGGTGACACTGGTTTGTGCAAATGAATCTGCTGTTGTCATTCCTAAAGTAAAGACAAAAGCATAAAAAAGATCAGCTCAGCTGCATCTCTAATCTGAACACAACTCACTAAAAAGACAAGGATTTAAAATCTGGTTTGAAGCCACCCGAAGAAAAATAATTTAAGAGTGGCACACACAAGACAACTGCCCTGACAAATAAGTTGAAAGCAGAATAAATCACATTTTCTACAAACAACTTTTACCATCAGGATTTGATTGTGTGAAATATGGACCAAAAAGCTTCCTTAAACCTGCATTTATTTTAGGCTACTTCTGGGTAGTGTAAAATGTAAACACAATAAGGCCATTATATTACCATATAGAACACTGCAAATGTGTGCTATTTACACATCAAACAGACGCAGCAACATAAGCATTTATTTCAAGTCATGTTTGAATACATGAATGTAAGTCCAATGAAAGCCCTGAAAGTCTCTCCACTGCTTTTGTCCTTCTCAGTTAAGTAGGTTTAACAATGGAGCATGCTGACTATATTACTTTACTAATATGAGCAGAGCTAGAGATGCACTTCTATTATGAGAGCGAGACCTCCACCAAGGCCAATAGTCCAGTCTTTTATGATATGCAAATCTGCAAGTGCAACCTCTTTATAGGTCTGAAATATAAGACATACTGCATGTCAAGATTTTGTGCAATATTTGCAGTATACAGTGCTTTATAGCTAAAGCCTCAACATATCAGCTGTCATTTATTATGTACATTCTGCACATACATTTTGAAAGAGGGCAAAAAATGAATATAATCAGTCAGCTTATCAGAGCAAACTTTTTTTTAATTATAATGTAAACATGTTGATTTCTGCTATACATTTAAGAAAAGCCTGGGAATGTAGTATGCTTGCCTCTGGAGGCAGGCTCAAGTGGACACTCAAGGAATTGCAGTTTTTTTGCATTTAGCATTGACTTCACATTTCAACTACAGAGGTTGCCACTTGGTTAGGACATGCAAAAATGACAGGACTTTAAAGCTGTCCCCCTCAGACGGCAACTAGGTTGTCTAACATAAACCTTTAACTTTGTGTGATTAAGCTGTGACTTAGCAGATAAGAATTACTATTAAGAGACGCCTGTATACAACGGCAAGGCGTGTCAGTCACAAGCGCTGCAAACTTCATCTGACTCTTATAAAGGTGCGCTGTCTAATATTTGTTCAGTGTGCTGTGGTGACGCCTGTTCCCATTTAGCCTGCTCCCATTTAGCCTGCTCCCACTGTTCCCTTTGTGTTTAATAGGGGAACAGAGGAAGCCAGAGGGCAGCTTGAAGAGCGGTACAAACAGTAGGAGGTCTTTGATTATGGCGTAGCTGGTTTACCTCGGCTTCTCATCTGCATGCATTGAATAATTACATTCAAAGCCCCGTTTCAAGTAGCTACATAGCCAACATACTACCAAGAAATGGGTGTGTATACCCTTCTTAAACAGTATGTCTTCAAATAATTCTTCTCAAAACACAAGGAAGTGAAGAGAAAATCAGGATTAATATCAGATCCTGAATGAAATTTGATTATTTTCTCTATGAAAAGGCCCTGTGTCACATAATGTCATTATCACTTGGTAACCCAGAGTCTGTTAGAGATGAAAAACAACAGGCTACAGACACACAGTGACAGCCGACTTTTATGGATATGATGTACTGCATGTACACAAACACACACCCATTCCCAGTCATATGTATAAGTGGAGTGTAATAAGTCATTCAGCAATATATGATTGTAGGTGAGGATGTAAAAAAAAAAAGGTGGGAAAGATGCATATAGTGTCAGGTGGCATTTTTAAAGCTTAATAAGTGAGGGAGTGGCACGATTCTGGATATGTAGAGCAACACTGTACAACATAGTATTTTTCATTGCATGTATCAATTTGTTACTGGCTCATCTGTATGTGATTTAAAGGGTAATTAATTCATTTTACTTATTTACAAGAGATTAAGACTAACTCTTACATCAGATCCAGTCGATCATGTCAGGATATCTTTGTTAAATTCTTTGTTAGTTACCTTTTAGCACAGTATCAGTTTCAAGGTCTTCACGGTGCAAAAAATGACTGGGTTGAAGGTCACACTTCTCATTGTTCACCTCATTCAAACATAGTCTACATATTACTATCTCAGAGGCCAATGGTTTATCTGCATTTTTTCAAATGCCGATAGCTTTATGGAAACTGGGGAGCCAGTTTTAATTAAACCGCTGTCCTTTGATTAGTCAAGTGTGCTTGACTTTGACTTTCCACACTAAATCTACTAAACTCAATGTCAGGGTCAGAGCCATTGGAAAGATATGTGCACTGGAGGATAGTTAATAGATACAATTTTAAACAAATACTGTCAAGAAAAACATGATGACCCAGCTGTTAAAATGTAAAAAAACGGTTTAAAGAAAAAGTAGCACTGTCTTTGATGAGGGTGTGTGAACTCAAACTCTGTCAAAGAGCCTTATCAGTTCTGTGTGTGTGTTCAGTGAAACCACTTTCTTACCAATGGCTTTTTATCTCCACATAAGAAACAGAGTGGAAAGTTTATGACATACCATCTTGTGTGTCTTCACTTATGATACGCTAACGCTAATACAGAAGAATTTGGTTGAACACATCAGTGCTTAATCTTAGATCTTTTCACAACCAGCCTCAATGTTCAGTGCCAGTTTTGTTAGCACGCTACAATGCTAACATAAGATTTCGAGGATACCTAGTGCTTGGCACAAATGTTAATGTTTAATGAGTTTAAGTTGAATTCACTTAAATGACATATAATCCAAATCTTTGGTTGATGACATGTCATGACAGATCATTTTGTCAGCCTCGGCTTCATTCCTGCTGATTGTATTCTTGTAAATGCCAACCTACTAAGATGGTCATTTTGTTCGTGATAATCTAAAAAAAAATGTTTACTACTAATTTGCCATAAAAGGTTTTGCTACAGCTTCTAGCATTATAACTAGCATGCATTGTTTTAGATAGCCAGCATCTCTAAAACAGTAATCCCCTTTGAAAACTACAAATGTTTGTCACAATGCTGTTTATTCTGAAAACAGTTCATTCTTAATAAAACATTTCATTTTCTTAGGCTTGGCATGGGCCATGTCGATCAAGAGAAAGCCATGAATCTTATCCTTTATTCAAAATATATACAGTATTCTTAATATCCGGTATCCAAGCTGTCTTTCTGCACACCAGAAAATGTCTAAACATTGGAGATTACCCAACAAGTCAACAAAACATCAAGGGATTACATAAAGGGGAAATCTCTCCTTACATGGGAAAACCAGCTAAGATTGTATACCTTGGAGGAGAACTACATTTTTGAGGTTTAAAACGCTGTTGAAATCAAAGCAAAGATAAATGTTTTAGCAGCATTGAGGAGTTATGAGGTCCATGGGGTACTTTAAAACAAGTTAGTAATTAATTATCACCTACCACACTATAGACGACAGCATCATATAAAGAGCATTACAGAGAACAAGAAAGGCTTGTGTTTTTAACTCTTTACACGGTCTCACCGGTCAGTATTTTCTCGGGCAGAACACAGTATTGGCTGTCACAATGTCCCTTGGTTCTTGTGATAAATTTATTCTACACTAATATTGTGTCGACTCTGTTTTTTTTTTTTTTCCACGTGTGCTACACATGCAGAGATTGTGATCGCATCATGGAAAGATGCAGAAGCTGAGACATTGAAAAAGTACTATTCAACAAAGACTCCTGGTATGCCAACGTATTTCGTGACCAGTCATAAATCAGCCAAATACAGATACTGTGAGAAGGTTTTGCCCTAACATAAAAACACAGTCTATTTATAGGAATGAGGAAATGATGGACTGGAGGGAAACTCATGGACAATAATTTCAGTGTGCATGGCTTAACCCAAACAAACACTGGTTCTGCTTCCACTGATACTTTCAAAGTGAAGAGCTATTCCCTATTTACATGAACATTGAAATGTCAGATCATCAGATGTGACGAGTGTGTGACGCCTTTACCAAAGACTGTTAGAACATTAGTTACAAAAATGTGTGACTACACTTCTCCGACATCACCACAAACCACAGAATGCCTTCAAACTCATGTTGGCACCCCAACGCCCCAAATTACAGTTAATTACTGTAATACATTTAAAACAGTGGGGTAATTAAGAGCCCACTGTGCCTTGCATGTCTAACGGGGAGCCTTGTCTTTGAGGATTTAACCTACAGCCGGATAATCCCCTGCAGACACAAAAGAGATGACCGGGTCAGGCAGGGTGACAAGTGGGTCTAAGGTCGGCCTGCAAGTGCACACTCAGGAGGATGTGGATCAGAAATGTCCGGGTTTGCCCACCCTTCACTCCAACTCTAGTACGAGCGCCTGCTATTCAACCGATTACAAGCTGCCACACCTCTCAAACTCCACCTTTTCCTTTTTTTCTCCAAACACAAGTCAAACACGTGGGATGTGTTGCCACATAGAGGTCTGATAACAGCTGTTGAAGCTTCACATCACTTCAAATCACCAGCAGTAACAGAAACAGAGACGGACTTTAGTGTTGTGTTTCACTTCCGGGGATCTCTATTCATGCAAAACAATAGCACTCCTGTGAAGTACCTGCTCACGATCTGACTTTCAGATCCAGTTCCCCCAACCTACGTCCTCTACTACCTGTCCCCAGTGCCACTCCTCGTCAAGCTCTCCTCGTCTGTATTGATGGTTTCAGAGAGCTGCAGACACACACTCTCCTTGTTCTTTTACGTTGCCTTGAAAATGTTCTGTGTATTTTGGGATTGGGGGGAAAAGTCTGTTTTTGAAATATTTTTTGGGTAAATCTATCACTGAACATGAAGGACCTGCCTGATTTAGGAGCGCACACAGAGAAAAAGCAGAAGAAGAGTACAAACATTTTAAGGACCCCAGAGGCAGGAAGGGCCCGGAGGCCAAAAGGCAGCATCTCATTAGGGGACAGAGAAGTCCTGTGGAGAGCTGACCTAAAAGTGTGTTCTCTGTGTGTGTCTGTACTGCCTGATTAAAAAAAAAAAAACACGTAGTTTGACATCAAAAAAGAAGCTGATCAAAGCCAACAAAGGCATTCTGGATCCTCCTACACCTTAGAAGCAAATAAATGGTGCAACTGTGGTGCCCACACCAGCTAATGAGAGTGGACGATTCTAACCTAGCTGTTTACGACGTCTCTCTGTTCAAAGGTGTTTAAAGGTGCCCATTCCTGCATTACAACACCACCAGCAGATACACACAGGTCAGTTTCTTTCTGCACTCATTGCTACGGGGAAACCAGTCCTGAGCGCAGCCATCAAAGCTCACAGCTGAGGCCAGGTCACCAGGACCGACCGCACATTACCGCCAGGAAGCTTTTCATTTCATCAACCAGAAGACCGTCATCCTGCTGAGAGCCACATTTCAACAGTCCCAATTATATGTTACACTGATGATTTTTAGAGAAATTATAAAAAATAAATACTAAATCAACCAAGAGTGAGTTTGCTAATCTGATCTATTATTACAGAGACAATGGTGTATGTTTTATCACATGAGGAATAACAAGTCACTTTTTGTCCTTTAAAGACTTTGCTTAGGCTGTTTGCTGACACTTTCTTATGGCACATGAAAGACTTGCTGCTTGACACTCATGTGCAGCCCGAAAGCTCAGGCCACAGTTATTTTAAGATCCCTTTTTCACAGTGACACAGACACACTGAGGCAGCGTCACAGGCAGACAGAGAAGGGCTCTTTACACTGTAAGTCGTAGGTAACAGATGGCTCCCCCAGTGCAAGGCTCACTCGCAGGCCTGTGCATATATCATATCCAATTAAAGCTCCGCCAGCACATGCTTTCCAATTACAGAGGGAGATTTACTGGCCTGCAGTAGGTCTAATCTGACAGGAAACTGCAGGGACGTCGCGTCAGAGGGACGAAGGAAAAAAGAGAGAACAGCAACAAGTGTGGATGTAAAAAAACGATACGCGCACAGCAGGCGAGAGCGTATCAGATGAGGAGGATCGGATCAATTATCAACATTAAACAGAGACGAACAAACTGAAACTGAGCTCTTTAAGTCCTCCTCACTCTGATAGGAGAATAATCACTCATAGAGACTCTGTTGGTGTGGCCTCACTATGTATTAACTAGATTTGCTAGTAAGCTATTAAGTATTTCAACCTTTTCTTGCAATGTAAAAAGGTTCTCCAGTTGCAGCATCTTAACTGTGGCAATTTGCAGTTTCTGATTAAATATACAAATATCTCTTTTTACAGATTCTGCATATAAAGAATACAGGTATAAGGTATCTGTATGCAGAGGACAGAGTAGCAATGCACCAGAATGAAAAAGAAGTCTGGGCTGGATGTCCTTTTATTTTGATCACACCGGAAGCCCCATAAATTTGCCCACCGCCCCAAAGCCTAATTAAAAAAAGGGAATTTAGGATATTACATTGCTTCTACTAACTTCTTATAGATTAACTGATTAACTCCAAAAAAAATGATAAATATGCACATCATATGTTGTCATTACATTATAGTGCAAAACTGTTTTTTTTGCAGGGGATTTGTCCAAATTTATACAGATACTTTTATCAGTTGTTTTGGTTCACTGACTTACATTACATTTAGGCTTACTTTGTACTTATTGCATGTACATGGAGAACTATAGAAAACACTCCAGGAAGTGAAATCACTGTCAACACGCACAGGCTGATCTTTCCTATTGTAGAGTTTACAGGGCAATGAATCATTTTATTAGGAAACTAAGGCCTGGAATAATTAATAATAAAGAATTGTTATTTCTAGCCCTTAAAAGTCTGAGTCAATGGTGTGTTAACGCATGTGCAGAACTTGCATTCTCTGGTGATGACTGAGCAATCGCCATGCAGTGAAACATGACAGATGTTGAGGAGACATAAACTACATGTGGTTAAACGAAGGCAAAGCGGAGGGAGAGGAAGAGGGCATTTTTTTAACATGCTCCTCTCCCGCTCCGGAACATTTCTTTTAGAGGGCACAAGAAAATGTGGCGCCAGACTCGTTGGAGGAAGATCGTGACCCTCAGGAGGTCTTTTCATCTTGACCTCTTTACTGCTACTTCAGACACACTCAGTCATGCCCCCTTCACATGTCTTCCTCTAGCTCCGTGTAGACACATGACATGGGGGAACAGCCTGCAGGCTTGCATGGCTAGTCCCAGACTGAGTCTTTATGGCGACCTTGAATCACAGGGACACACCTCAGAACGGTCCAAATAATAGAAAGGGTTACCAGTGGATTGATAGCAAGCCTGTACAGTGACAAAACTATTTGAAACAGCTTCACGACACTGTTGAGGGGGTTCACAGATAATCACAGAGAGTAATCTGTGTGTTTGTGGAGAGCGCTGCTATCCAATGCCTGCTTACCGGCAGGCATCTGTGCATCCCAAGAGAGCTTTGAGTCACACTGAAGGAGCAGTGAGTCATGGTTTAAAGTATTTACCCCCCCATGAATGTGCAGAAAAAAAGGGCAAAGAATAAGGAAAGATGTAGGTTTCTTCAGTCAGTTGAATAAATGGAATAAGCCACGTCCCTTAATTATGAAGGAGTCAGATGCAAAGGTTTCAGAATCGTAGCTCGGTACAACACCCTAACAAAATGCAGTTGCATTTTAAATAGTGTGTTAGTGGAAATTTAAAAAACGATACGTTATTTATTTGGCTATGATAATTTAATAAATTGCAATCTGCCTGTTTAGGATTTTCTGCCATACTGACTTATAGATAATACAATAGATCACTGAAATGTTAAAAGTACAACAATGCACAATGTTTAAATTCAGTTTATCAATATAGGATTATCTATATTTTAAAGGAGGAAGCCCTACTGAAACAATGAGCCATAATAACACTTAACATTAAACATACAAAATGGTAAAATAATAGAAGTATTACAATTTACAACATGGTTCATTTAGAAATGTCAGACTAGTTTAAGGTTTTACATAAAATACCTATAATGCTCTTCTTAAACGTGATGTAAAATGTAAACTACCAACAGTAGACCTTTTAGATGGTAGTCACACTTACTGATGCCCAACCTTGCATCAGCATTAACATGCATTTCATATAATAATGACACTAAACGTGACTCATGAGGTACATTGTCTCCACTTTGACGGGCTGATTTTGGTAATACTTCAGTAACATAATGACAGACAGAAGCTGTATGAGTGAAACTGCTGATTTTACTTCTTGACCACATGCTCACATTGCATGAAGGCAATGCATGAGAATGAAATCGGTGCCTACATCAACGAAACAACTAAACAAACGTGGAAACTCATTCGTTTTCAGTGTTCTATTGAAATGCCATATACAGTATACTCAATGTGACGACGAGAAGTACAAAGTTTCACAGTTTGACACAGTAAAGAAAATGTAATCTAACTTACCACTGACGACAGCAGCCAGCAGAAATACGACAGACAGATGATTTAGAAACATGTTTGCAGTCCTAGGTGCGACTTTGTAAAAAAAAAACAAAAAAAAACGGTTCGTCTACTGAGGACCAGCCTGTAAAAAAAATAATAATAATAAAAACGTGTGTAGCGGTGAATCTAACGGAACTGAACAGACGCCTTTCCCCCGGGGGTGTACACTCACTGCCTGCTACAGGTGGCTCAGACTGGAGAGCCGCAGACTCTGACAGCATTAAAAGCTTTAGTCCCTCCACTGATTGGCTGACTGTCCTGTCACTCATCATTACTGTACTGTCGCTGCAGCACGAGCCTGCCTCCACCAATGAACTAGTGCATTAACTTTTTACCTGTCATCCTCATTCCTAACCTTTTTCATTCGAGCGTAAACAATACAGTAGCATACAATGAAAGAGAAAATGGTGCAGTAAGCATTACATAACCAAGATATCCTTAAATATATTGGAAAAAGCTTTTATAAAAGAGTTTGAAAAGATGTGACTTTCTGTCATTATTTCGATAAGAGACTGCTGTCTCTTGTCTTGACAACCAAAGATCAAACTAATTCAGACTGGAAACATAATAAACCCTTAACAGTCTCATCCTTTTTCTTCATGTTGTTATTGTGGACCTCTTAATGGGCTGGAGACATTTCAGACTAAACAGGCTTTGTTTATATTTTCAGTGGTTAAGTTACTTATAAAGAAAACATGCTATTTCCGACTGACCCGGTTTTTTCTTCCACTCCAGGTGGATGCTTAAAAGTTCAGTTATAAAAATCACAAACTTTATTTCCTGTTACTCTATCCATCTAGATGTGTAAGTTTTGATTATACCTTTGAGGAAAATTAATTTGGAAAACTCAAACTGGTTGTAATCTCATCTAAAGAAAATCTACCAACCGTTTTAGTAACTAAAGCTCTAACGCAGATGCAAAAAAAGCTACAAAAAGAGAGATTTGCATGAAAAAAAAAAAACACTTTATTGCCATCATGTTAAAATATTTTTTCTGTTTAACTTCATCATGTAGTTGTACCGTCTTCTTTGGCAAGAGTTGAATAACACCTGATTATAGAGTTTGCCCATCCTGTTAATCTTAATAAACCAACTCCTTATGTTACCATGACAGCAGCGGATTGAATTAAACATGAATTTGCAATCACTAATGACAATTTTTTTTTTTTATTAAACCAAAACTTGTGCTATGTTTGGATTGAAACCTAAGCTAAACTACATCATACTAATATAGTTGAACTTAATCTATCTGTCCTGGCTTTAGGTGGAGAAATTAATTTGAATGGGAAAATCATTAGGAATACCTCTTATGTTGATGATTCAGTTTTTATATAAACATGACCTCATTGGATAACAAGTCTGTCCTGTACCTTTAATTAACTATTGAGCAGTTTGTAAAATACTATCCCTGAATTCATTTACATATCCACTATTGTCAATTATTATTTCGTAGGTCCTACAGAGCAAAAAGACACAACATTTCTGTGAGTCTGTAGCAATTTATTAGTTCCACTGTGCTTCTTTATCAAAATGCACTTTATCACAAAGAAGCTAATCAACTCTAGGTATGCTGGTTTGAGGCAGGTACAACATTGCAGAAACTAAAAAGAGAGTCACTTTTGCATCGAGTGAGTAAGGTTTACATTCATTTTGGGGAGGGGTTACACTTGTCAAAGTATTGCTTGCTTAAGAACATACGGCAATAGGGCCCTAGGATCATGACTTTAGAGGGTATTTCTCTTTAAAAGAGATTTAGATCCCTAAGTTTCACTTGAGAAGATGAACCACAGTGCATTTTTCCGAGGATGGCCTTTACCTATGTCAGAGAAAGTGTTGTAAGAACAAAGAGTAATTGTCTATTGTTTGTATTTTTAGTGTTGTTCTCTTCCTACTTTCCACCTACATTTGCCTGACAGTGACTTCCTAATAGGAAGTATATTCTCTCTGGAAACTGTACTTGCCTTATTACATGACTGACTTATTTGGTTAATTGTAGGTGACATAAATTGACTTTTCACATGTTGAACAATAGCAAACAGATGTGAAGAAGATAAGACGTTTATTGAAAGATCACATCAAGCCTAAAACTCTGGCATATTGAATTTCTGAAAAAATCCAGTTTAAGGCCCAAAGTACGTGTGTGAACTAGGCCTTTTGCTTAGTTAGTGTGTAGATCATAGGACACATATTTGTATGCAGTGTATATAAGCAAGAAATAAAATCAATTTCAGGAACTGTTTTGAGATCTTAAATGATTAGTTTCCCAATCAACAAAACACCTCAAATAAAAACTCATTCATTATTACAAGCGGTTTTGATTAATATAATAATGGTTTTCTTGACTGGTTACTTTGTGAACCTGAACAATCTGATAAATCAAATTGTTTTAAATATATATTTTATAATTCTGTATATCCATTAAAAAAAAATAACATGAACAGGTTTTTTTGGTCGCATTTAATGTATTACAGAAATGACTCAATAGTCAAGGAAGTATTTCATTTCTGAGGCCTGTCTGTATGACGCACTGCTTTATTAATTAACTAAGGTAAGGACTTTTTCTAAACATATTAACAGTAATAGTTAAATTCTTCCTGCAAACTTCCATCATTTTTATGGAGGTAAATAAGCCACCTGCCCTTTCCCATTGATCATGTTGCCATAGCACAGCTTTTATGGTTCTGCTCTGGGACATTCCTTCATAGGAGACATGAAAGATGTCCGACATGCATATAAAAAGCACATACACCTTTCTGACCTCACTCCTTATCTCATGTAAATACTCGGGAACATTGCAACATATTTCAATACCTTTTGTTGATTTTCAGCCTGGCATCCGTCATGATTAATTCCAGAGTCTCTTTCCTTGTTGACACAAGTTGGTTTCATATCAGAACTGGAGTTCTGCCATTCTTGCCATTCTTAATATTGTACAAGGTCATTTTATAGACTGAGTTTTATTTTCTCGTGTTGAAGGATTACGGGAAGAGGCAGGTCATTCAGGACCAAATGAAAAAATATATGAACTGTGTAAAAGGTGATCAGATGTTCTAATAGCATTAAAGAAACAATAAGCTAAGGCTGATAGGAATGAGGTCAGTTTTATAGGGCTACCCCTCTCCTCACGCCTCCTCACAAACTGAAGTAGCCCAAAAGACAAAAAAAATGTTGCTTCAAGGTTTTAGCCATGGGCTCTAAGAGGATTTAGTTTACAAAGACCAGTGCCTCTCATAGGAAAATGCTCCCAAAATGTTAAAATGCAAAGATTTGCAATGTAAATATGCTTGGTTGAATGTTTACCTTACAGCCATCTATGTTTAGTACAATATAAAGCTAACTTTGACTATCTGATGATAGACTAAAGCAGGAAACTGAAGTACTGGATGGCAAAAAACGACCTCAGTGTGTACAGCCATTCTAAGGCTTTATCAGATTGTTTCTTAGTAATAAATCTTTAACCAAAAATGCTACTATATGAGCTAACAGTCTCCTCACAGCAACGCTAACTTGATGATGAAGAGAAGTTATGAAACTACACCAAGTTCATTGCCTTTGTTTGACATGTTAGTATGCTAATAGCGAATTACTGCATGGCTAACACTGAGAGTGATAGGAGTACAGTTAATAGCTGTGTTTTTTAACAACTTAAGTATTAGACAAGTTAAATCAACGACCTGGGTTTATAGCCGTTCTAAAAGTTGTTTAAGCTACCAGTGCATAGTAGTATTTCTAGCTAAATTATAGCATCAACAAGCTAATAGCTTTACCATGTTCACAATCTTAGTTTGTGTTAGAATTCTACTCATACTGTTACAATTAAAGTACAGATAAGACTGAAGGGGATTAGCCATTGAACCTAAGTATGATTACTTTTTTTGGGCTATATTACGTTAAGTTGAAAGGGGAAAGGGGGACATACATGTGCATACCAAATTTTCTGGCATTCCATCCAATACAAGATATTTCATTACAAATCACAAATGTGAACCTCAAGGTAGCACCAAAGGTAAAAGCAGGCAGTGAGTGGGATCATCTGTCCTGAGTTTCATTATTGACTATCATTTGAGTCTGGACCAGAGTGGTGAACTATCTGGCTAACGGAAATATTCTGCCTATCCTAAGAGGCTAAGAGGAATGGTGCGGAAAAAAACCACCCATTTGCATTCTTTATTTTATTAATGTATCCAATGACTCATATTACAGCATCATTAAAACTCCCTCCTCTTTTTTTATTGCTGTTGTTGCTCATTCACTCCCTCTGTGTACACAACCAAGTATGTTGCCTCTACCCAGCTTTAAAGATAAGGACTTCATGCAAACCATCATGTGCAACACTCTCTCATCAACTCTGTCAACACACCTGTGACCTCTGGAAGGTATCAGGAGTCAGAGAAACAAACTCACTGTTTCCTAGGGTTACAAGAGGTAACTGTGCTCAGGCCCGGTTAGTCCTGGAGCAGTTTGAGTGCAGGCCAGCGGGTGAACGGGGAGGGGGTGCAATCGTGCTTAAGCACTGTACGGGTTAGGGTAGCTTTGCTAGTGTGAGTGCGCCCTTAGGTGTCTGTTCTGTTGTAGTGTGTTACGCCAAGACATCTCTTTGACATTCAGCTCAGGAAATAATATCGAATGTGTAGCTTTACAGCCTCCATCAGAGCATGATGCTTCCTTCTGGTCACACCCCCAATCATCCAGCTCCAGTTTTTATAACCTGTTTTTTCCATCGTCCAGTCAACACTGAGTAAAGCTCTTATCAGTTTTGACTCATAATGACACAATGGAAGTCCATATCAGAAAAGAACTATGGGAATGTTAAAATGACAACATTACATAGAAAATGCAATCATTAATTAACCGATGAAGAAGGGATTGTCGTTGAATCACAGGTTTAAGGAGTGTACTGAAGTACAAAGTCCAGAAAAGTTGCATATTCTCGTTATAAGACAACATGTTGATGTGATGGGATAGAAAACTTCTCTTTTTTCATTTAAGGAAGTAATTCATTTCCCCACAAAGATGATGAAATGAGACAAGAGCATATCAACAAAGATGAAGGTCATATTTAACTGTGCTGTGAAGGTTGGCTGCAGTCATGACTCATGATGGTTTCTCTGGTTAGAATGGGGTTCATAGGTTTAATGAGATGTATATAGACCACTCAAGGAGGCTTGTTTTTGTATTTCTTAAATGGCATACTAGTACAGGTATATATAACTTATATATTGTTGAATATTATTTTTTATGCATTTTATGTTGCAGTGTTAAAGTATAACATCCTAGTATAAGAACGATTGTACTCTATTTTTCAGCATCAGTTTCATTCTCTTGTGCAATTTATGTTTTTCATCTCAAGGTGAAACAAGAGAAACAGTGAAACTGAAGTTTTATTTTCCTTTAAATCCTTTTGAGTCGACTTGGTGTATAAAAATTAAATGAACATGGTAAGCTAACAGTACATGCTCAGTTTCAATACATAGTGTGTCGATGGAAACACACATGTAACTTTAGTTTGTTTCTCGCAGTTTGTTTTGGAATAGTAGATCATCGTAAAAACACACTTGGGTGTTGGAATAACTAATTTAAACACACCACAAGTTGATGATGCATTCACTCATTCCTTCCAGTGGTTTGCTTACATAACCAGTATGTTTATCACTACAAAGTCCATCTTTAAAGAAATCATTACAAGATAAATGACAGTGGTGTACTGGGGGCTGATGTGGTTAAATTTGAGTAATTATAAACCATGCAATCTATTAAACTTCAATCTTAAATAAGAAAAACTCGGTCTATTTCCTTTAATCCCTAAACGAGCTTTTAATGTTTTAAGTGGTAGAACAAATATCCCTTAAGCCAACCTTACATTATTAGAAATAAGTTAATAAGTTAGTCTTTAATAATAGATGAAAAATCTGATGATTATCAAGAAACTGTGACAGAAAGGTCAACAACAGTCACATAGAAAGGAGGCATGATTACTACATTATCATGAGAGAAATAGAGGCCTGAACTAAAGAGGCCCTTCCAAGAGCATCATCACCACCCTGTGGTGGAAATAAATACAGCTCCAACAAGCTTTAGTGAACCTCTCATGCTACAAACACTAAGATGCTGATTGAAGTCACTACTGCCCACAAAGCTGATGGATCATAAATGATAAACAGTGTCCCATCAACACCTCTGATAACACCTGCTACTTATTTATATTAACCTCATCATAAAGAGGGTGTCACTAATACACCAGCATGTTTAACCCCATCAGCACTTAATGATGACAATAATAAAACTTGATAACAGTATTTTTTTTTTATTTTCTCCCTAATCAGTTTTAAATTCATTGGACAAGCATAACCTTGTGACTCGTTTCACAAGAACCTGAAAGAACATAAAAATGGAAGATATCATCACTACAAAAATTTGGCGGTGATAAAGACAGGGAAAGGAATATACTAAAATAAAATTTATACATGGGTCAGAATTCAGTAAAGGAAGATGTAGTGTTTCGGTTATTTTTCGTAAACAACAAGCTTCATGAAACAATCTGGCAAATCAGACGTGGATGAGTCAAACTGAAGGAAGTGAATACTGGTTGGCATGACGCAATTACAAAAACCCTTAAGCAACAAACGTCTTAATGGATCATATAAATGTCATGAGCATGAATGTTTAAAAATAGTCCTCCAGGAACATGACATGGTTTTCACATACAACAGCATCTCTGCTACACAAATCCAACCTTCACTCCGTTATATCCCTGGTTCACTGTGATATGAGGTATATATGAGGCAAACTCTTGTTAACGCTCAAACTGTCCAACATGGCAACACATTATTTAAGATATTACAGCATTAAAATTCACTGTGCCATTTTAAATGATTGCTTAAAACAACAGGCCATCGGGGTGTAAAGGGGTTTAAAGTCTCATTCAGCAGTGACATCAAATCCAGCACTCAAGGCCAGCTGTAGCTGTGGAAGACAGCGCAATTATTGTTGTCTTTACAAAAAAAAAAAATAAGAACATGTATACATTTAAAAACCAGCAAGAAATTACATTTAACATTTAATGACATTTAGTATTTTTGTACCCGTGCGCCCAATTTCTGCCGGGACAAATATTATGCTTGGTACTGCCAGCACATGAGAAAAGATCGAAATGCATACACATTTTTTGGTCAGCCGTCTTTTCGCTCCGACTGCATATGGCTGCAAAAGTAACAGCTTAAGAAAGACTTAATCACTAACACATTTGTCATCGAATTCAATTAGAAAGCAAAGCTGCTAAATTGGTTTACAAGTCAAACTAAAACTAAGGGTTTGAATTACATTTACAATATCCCGATTGAATAAAACTTAAAAACCCCCCCACCCACCCACCCAATTAACCCTTCCTAAAGATGAGAGAAAATGTTCAAATCCCACTTTTACATATCAACCCCCACCCCCATCCCGTATAAACCCAAACAAAGGGTATCCCCGAACATACACCCAGAATATTTCCGCCCACAAACCCTGTCTGCATATGCCCCAAACAACTCAGTCCACCGCTGATGCTTGAGCTCTGTTGATCTGACAGGGTACTTTACTCTATGTAAGAAAACGGCTCAAAGTGCTAATTGGATTCTTTTAAAGAAATAAGAGGAACTGAGGAAGAGGAGGAGGGCAGGAAAAGGGGAAGGCCATTCTATCGCTGTCCAACAGCTACCTCTATTGGCCAAAGAAAAGCCCGAACATCACTTTTGTTCTCCGAAAATATACCCAGGACAACATGTACCCCCTGAACCAGTCCTCGTTCTTCCTCTCCTTCAACTGATTTAATCTGTTTCTTTACATTAATACATATATATTGTTATAAATATATATATAGATATATATATGGCCCTTATTGAAGAAAACATGAGTTTCACATTGACGCGCAAGTACCATAATCTCTATACAGCCGAGTAGAAAGTGTTTTCAGTGCTCAAGTGAGCTGGCAGCAGTCTGTTTATGTCACACCTATTCAACAAGTAACAAAACATAAGAAAATTGCTCTTTGAAGTCGCAAAACTTCTGAAAACAGAGCTCACGGCACCTCGTAGGCTTTCCACTTTTTCCTGAGTAATACTTTCAACCTTGTAACAGACAACCTTTTTTTGCTATTTCGATTCTGGGCTATTCCCTGCCATCATGGTTTAATCATTGTTATTTCACATGTGTAAAGATGATTGCTCAAACATTTCAGCTCCTTGGAAAAGAAATGTGTCCGGTGCTACTCTACGCTTAAGTAAAAAGTACTTTCAGTTCATGATTAATGACCTAGTGTCCCTAAAATGACAAGAATAAAACAGTACATACATATTAACTTAAAAAAATAACAGATACTTTAGAAAGAAAATTGCCTTTGCAGGAAGCCTTGCAGGCTCGTTGTGTGGAGAGGAGTGGGCACAATAACAGAGCTTCAGAAAATGGAACAGAAAGATGTCACTTAAAAAATAATAATAACAATAATAATAATTATAATAGTAATAAAATAGGAGCGCTAAAAAAAATTAAACAAGAACATCAGCTATAACAACAGAGTGTTCTCCCCCTCTCAGGCTCTCATCTGTAGCTTTGGCTTGTTGCAGTTTTGGAACCTGTACTTACTGGCTCATTGACATCAGATAACAAACTAGTATACCCTGAGAATTCAGACACAGATGTCCGTATCCTGTGATCCACCTCCCCGCCAGAGTCAGTGCCGTAAGACAAGCCGCCTCGGCCAAAGGCCTGGGCAAAGTTTTCTATCTGGTAGGAAGGCTTGGAGGAGTCCAGAGAGGCCAGATCCTGCGAGGGGGCTAAATGGTAGACCACCGTGCCGTTCTTGACAGGCCGGTGGTCTTTCTGGCTGCTCAGGTCTGATGGACTGATCTGATAGGAGGAAGGGGGCGTCGAGGAGTGGTGCTTATCCATCTGGTCGCTGAGCTCCTGAGACGGGGTGAGCTGCTGGTGAGTGGAGGCCTCCAGGCTGCTCAGGTGGAAGCCGTGCTGTGGCGAGGAGCTCGTCAGCATCGCAAAGTGAGACTTTGGCACAGAGGAGGGCAGCGAAGGTGAGCCTGCTGACTGGCCAAACCCACACTCCAGTGGAGACGTAGTGTAGATGTTTTTGTCGACATAAATGGGATTCCCCGAGTGGGAACTTGTGAAAGGTCCTGAGGATGGGGTCCCGGGGCCCAGAGGGAAGCTGGCACTGTGGCTGGTGCGCTCCAAAGCTTGCAGCAAGAAGCGAGAGTATTCGTTCATCATGACGTTCTTGTCTCCAGAAGGGCTGGAGTTGTCAGCATTGTGGCCGATGTCAGGGCCTTCAGTTGAGACGGGGTTTAAATCCACATGGTGGTCACTGATGTCAAAGTGAATATCGTGGTGGGAGCCGTCGGTTTTTTGGGTGTAGTGTTCAAGGAGGCTCTGGAGCACCTCATCTGGGATCCCTGATTTATCCAGACTAAGAGGAGGGTCACTATCAATCCCACCCTGAATGACTGACTGCTGGGAAGACAAGTGTCCCATACTGACTTCGTACTCGCTGCTGGTTCCTCCGACTCCCACTTGCCCGGATGAGTTTGCATTGTTTGCTGCGTGAAGGTAACGTCTTTTCTTGATGAACTGCATGGCGTCGTCATAGTTGCTGCTGGTGGGTCCTCCTTTAGCTCCGTTACCCTGCATTAGACCAAGACTGTCCATGCCCACAGTCTGCTCCAGTGAGCCTGCTTTGGCCTGTCCCATACCTGCTTTGTCTAAACCTTTACGATTTGCCTTCTTGAACGCCATCTTTGGGGATCTGCTGTGATGGCCCTGCTGCATGACGGCTCCTGGCTCGGTAGAGGAAGACACCGTTTGGTTCTCCAGAGAGAATTCGTGGATGCTGTAGCCTCCAGACACCACCCCTTGAATGTGCGGTACCCTCAGCCCTCCTCCATCCCCCTGCTGCTTCTTCTTCTTGCGCTCCCCTCCCTCTCCAGAGTTTTTGGACTTTCCCCTCTTCCTCCCAGTATTCCCGGCATTTCCCTGAGTGATTCCATAGCTGCCATGTCCCATGTCTACACAACCCATGTCCATCATGGCGGGATCCAGCCCCTGCTTTATTGCTTCTCCACAGGTTCGCTTGTGCTTAAGCAGTCGGTCTGTCCTTGAAAAATACTGAGGGGAACAAAGAAACAAAAATATTGTATTTAAAGCAAATATTAAAAAACTTCTACATACAGAAATAAGTTCATCATTAAAGGGCCCTCTGCAGGAAACTATGTAGCTCACTGACCTGTTGGCAGGTCTCACATCTGTACGGCTTTTCTCCACTGTGCGTCCTCTTGTGCCTCTCCATGTGATACTTCTGAATGAAGCGCATGTTACACTGGTCACAGCTGAATGGCTTCTCTCCTGATATACGGAAACAAAGTACAGTTTAGGTGAAGTTGTCACTACAAGGTTAAACCAGGTGGTTCTTCACTATTCACTCACCACTGTGGATTTTCTCGTGGCGCTGGAGAAGATACTTCTGAATGAAACTCATGTTGCACTGACTGCATCTGAAGGGTCTTTCACCTGAAATCAATACACAAAGATGAATATGGTTAATCTGATGAAGCGCCGGAATGGTTGTTATCGTTATGTGATGTCTTGGCCTTGTTTGTGAATCTAAAAATAAAGAACGGAACACTTTTCCTCCTCAGCAGTACGTGTTGCTTGGCTATAGAGTTCATAGATTGATTCACATGTGTTCATCATATTGAAATGGATTTAACCTTTGAATGATTCAACAGGGATGTGATCGGCATCAGGCATTTTTCTAATTGTGTTTGAGTTGTGGACCTCGTGACACCAAGGCTGGTTACAGCCTTCGTTAAAAAACACGAAGCGCTGATTGAAAACAGAGCATAGTTTTATAACACGCTATTTGCTCGTGGCTAACGGCCATCGTACTTTGAAGCATACCAGCACATAAACACAAACAGCTAACATGGCACACTGTTGACCATTTTAGAACAGGACGAATTCAAGCTCAACACAAACATTAGCCTGGATTCTTGGAAAAGGAAGTATCATGACATAATCTGTAGATTTCATGAAATTCTCCTTCCTTCACTGAACAGCTAATTAGCTGTCTTTGAAAATGTGATTTACGCGGATTACCTCTCTATGTTGGAAAATCCGCAATTCCGGATAAATCGGGAAGAATCACACCCCTGATTTTATTTTTATAAAAGGCTAAAATCTTTCAGTTTTGAGACAAAAGCAATTATCATTTATCTAACAACTATGAATCATACAACAAATGTGAAGGGTGAGATTCAAAAACAAAAATAAAAGTGATAGTTCAAGAAGGAAATCAGTCCTACTGGAACTAGGCAAATATTTCATATGAATTTCAAAACAATCAAATGTACATAATATTTTTACTAGGGACAAAAGTTGAAAATTAGCTAAAGCTATAAACTCTCTGTGCAGCACATCCGTTCCATTCTCTGTACTAGACGTGTGTTAAATTGCAGTCTTTGTTATCTGTGGTGGATCTGTAAATAAGGAGAGTCTACTTGGTGTCTCTTTTTCAGACTGACACGTTAACAATTCAGTTCAAATGTTTTGTGTTCTAAACACTTGATTACTTTCCTTCCAAATGCCTTGATTAGTTTTGAGAAATATACTGTGCCATTATTCAATATAAAACAGCTGTCATATACTCACCTCATGTATCGCCTGCATTTCTCTCATGCTTAAACTATATTTCAATTCCTTTCTTTCATCACCAGAGATGTGAATTATTCCCTTTTCCACATATTTCTGAGTTTCATAGTACTTACAGAATTAGCTGAAGATGTCGTTATATTAAAATGTTCCAAGAGTTTTTCGCAACACTTTTACATTTTATTGTATTCAGGTGGAATAACTATGATCGTCATCATTTTCTCTTTATGCTGATTGTGTTAGTATTACAAAAATACACCAGGGGAAAATATGCACACTACAATACCTGTGTGTATGAGGACGTGTCTGCGAAGGTGATATGAGCTTCTAAAAGATGCAGCGCAGTGCTCACAGATGTGGGGCTTGGTTCCCGGGGACATGCTGCCTCCATCAGCATCCAGCATCATCGATTGCTGTAGAACAATAAAATTGTTTTAGTTTATTTTTTTCAAGTATGAAAACTAACATAACAACACGCATGTCTCTTACAGATCTCAAAATACTATGTCTAATTACTATACCATTTCTTTCCATTGTAGCTAAATCTCCTTTTCATGTTTTTTAAAAATATATTTTGGGGAATTTTTGCCCCAGACAGAAAGGGATGACATGCAGCAAAAGGCCAGAGATGGATTTGAACCAACAGCCACTACAATGAAGACTATAGACTCTGTACATTAGGCATGACATAACCGCTAGGCGCCATGCTTGCTTTCTGCTTATATAGGAAACATCAAATATCTTGTTTGTATTCAATAAATGCTGCTTATGTTCCTGGATGAGTTTTTTTGTTCAGGAAATATAATATGCCTAAATTCAGAAATACATAAATATGACAAACCTTCGCCTCGCTTCTTTTCTTTCTGGGTTTACCCTCCTGCCCATCACCATTTGACCTTCGACCTTTTCTCCCAGTGGGCTCCTTTACTAACTGACTCGGCAGCTGTGAGGACGACAAAGGGAGACGGAGCAGGCCGTGAGAGCGAGCCATGACAAGGAAATCACTTGACTGAAGGTAAGAGGTCTTGCATCTAAAAACTACACAGAAGCATGTCCATGTATTCTACTCAAGCAAACAAAACTAACCACTCTGATGCTGTCTAATGATGGTCTCTAGAAAACTCATTGTGCAAAATGTGGTTTAAGTACTAGAGATAACAATGCCTTAAATTTACAGCCCTACTTTGCATAAGCAGCCTGTCATTCTCTGGGCGGGGATTTCATTTTTTATTTCTCCCAAAGAAACAGACAAACTGAACACCCACATACACTCCAAGTTCATCACTTAAAATGTTAAAGTATTCTCTAAACTTCATTATGAACAACCTCTCCAGGGTAATACTTCGGGAAAGAAGATAGCGTAGCCTAGTTTCTGCTGCTTCTTTACTGGTCATCATGCTAAACCTTAGTACCATATGGAGTCTAACAGAGAGACGTGTTTGCACCTGCTGTTCCAGAATCCTGCCAAATTTAGATGGTTTCAAAGGACAAAGTCAATATTAAATAATTGGTTGAAAGCACAAGATTTGACTTGATTGGATAACAAAAATAATTTAAAAAAATAATCATACAATCGCAAAAAAAGTTGCATCGTCAAAAAAGAGAAAAATATTCATGAGAGCCTGAACTGGAAAAACAAAAATATATGTTTTTTTTTTTTTTTAAGTTTTTATGATAAAATAAAATTGGCTTTGAGTAGACAATGTAAAACAATCTGGCACAGTGAAGACAATAATTCATTCTGAAGCCCTGATGACCTTGGATGCCTGGCTATTGTTAGAAGAGTGTGGTAGTGTGTATTTCTATTTGAATGAGCACAAAAGACGTCTGAAATGAAAAAAGACAGCTGTGTCCTTGTGACGTTTTCATTCACACTGAGGCAGGATGACATCACTGTTATACCCAAAGAGAAAAACAGAGGGAAGGATGAGGGGGAGGGAATGAGGGGGGGAACGAGGGGGGGGGCTTTTTTATATTTTGCATCCCAAGCCGTCAGTGGATTTATGTCACCATAAATACACAAGCTCCTCCCTTGCACCCGTCCTCTCCAAGGCTCCTCCCTCTCCCTTTTGAATAATAAGCTGCTTAACAACATGGGAGGGCTGCTGCTTCTGCCAAATAAATCATACAAGATTAAATAGTTCTACATTTATTAAACCTACTTTGGCTAGATGTTTTTCTCATCTTATTCTTTACGTGAACAAATACATAAAGTGTAGCTGATTAAAAAATACAAGATAAAGGAGAAACCTTTAAACACCTTAACCTACTCATAACGTGATGTGTTGTAAATCCATAAACTTGGATGGAAACACAACTTCTTCCACTCTCGCAGTGCTGCGTTGCATTTATAGATATGTTGAGTGTGCAGTTATCTGTGCCTCATATAAATGAGCTAAATCAGGACGTGCTGCGGGCCGGGGAGAGCGAGTACATGAGGCAGCAGAACGCTGACTCTCATAAGAACGTTACAGAGGATATCTGGTCATATTTTATCAGAGTTAAATTATATTGATTTTTCACATTTACCCATTAAGTGTCGGTTGTAAGATCTGTTAGAGGGCATGAAATATGAACTTTAAAGTTGATATTTCTCTAATTTGTCACATTTGTGTCACCGCTAACAACTATGTGTCGTAAATCAAGCCTGAAAGGCCAGAAAGACAATCGAAATAACTCAACTAGAGTTAGAATGTTATTTTTAAAGAAAACTAATTGGAATACCGGCGCACGTTATGATACATGATCGTTAATATTTATACATTGATGTGTTTGCGAGAACAGAGGCAGATACCCCTGAAAAATGCTTGATAAGCAGTAAATTAAATCACAAAGCAATTGATTTTTTTCTACAATGACCAAATAGTGTATTGGCCAATAAAATGGAAGACCATGGTTGAAAATGTCTTTGCTTAGCTTAAACAAACAGTAAGCAGCAGCAAATCCTCACATTGGATACATCGCAACCAGCACATCTAGTGTTTCTGAATGGCAATGAACTGCAACAACTTATTAATTGTACAATTAAGTTGGCGATTATTCTCCATACCAACGTTATAAAAAACAATCAGTGCTTATTTAGCTGCCTCCAGGATGTAATTTACCATCAGTTATACTTACGTTGCCCATGTTGAGGTCATGCGCCAGAAGGCTCTGGTTGTTACTGACTGTCACCTCCAGTAGTTCTGTGCTCTTCCCGAGGCCTCCAGGGTACACAGGCAGGCGGTAATCATGCTCTGACAGCTTCTCCTGCTTGATGCCCAGGGTGTGAACATAGTCTCCCACCCCTACACATCCCATGCGGCCACCATGGGTGCCCGTGCTGCAGTCAGGTGAGTCACGCTCCTTCTTCAGGATCATTTCATGAGGCGGAAGGTCCTGCATGACAGAGTGGGCAGCCAGCCGGGTGAAGCTGGTCACCGGGGGGAGATGGCTGAACATAATCATGCCTGGGCCGAAATTGGAGTCCATGCTCCCGTTGGAGTGCAGGAATTCATTGCCTAGTTTGTCCTGAATGATGCTCATGGTGGATGCCAGTAGACTTGAAGACTACAGGATGGCAATCAGTGACATTCTGTGAGGAGAGACAGCATCATTCTCGTTTAAAACTTTTGCAAATCAATGTAGCAAGCAATAACTCTGATCATTTAACACTGATAACATTTTATAGAGGCATCAATTAAAGCAAACAGAAAACAATTATGTAGCCATCTCAGTCTTTGGAATCAGTGTCACGGCCTCTGATCTCACAACTGGGCGCTTAGTCGGATTAAAACTGGCGATTTGTGGGTCAACAAAGGGCCTGCAGTCTGGCACAATGACAAGCAGAAACAAGCGAAAAACCCTGAAACAACAATGTACAAAAATACCCTCTGGTTGATTACAATGAGTATGTTTAGTATTTTACAGGGGGCAAAAAGGTCACTGTGGCTTGCAACACCAGACACAACATGAGACGAGGAATGAGAGGATTGAAGTTGTGTGTTAATCTGTTTGATGGGCCTGTCTGACCCAGTCATCCTATTTGCATGAGCTTATCTGCCAATGAGAGTGCACACAGACTGCATTAGGAGGACTGTTGGTGTAATTATGTGGCTTCTACATAAACAGATCAAGTGCATGTTTTGTAATAGCTCTAATATTTAATGCAGATATTTCATAGACACGCAGTGTTTGCATAGTGTGTTACTCACATTGGAGCACATAGCTAAATACACCAACAAAAAAAAAATCAAATGTCGCAGGGTAATCTCACATTTTTAATTTAAGTTACATTCAAATTGCATTAAAGATCTTACTATACTGCTCTTCAATGTTTGGCCAAAGAACAAACGACCCATCCGGCGAATGAATGCAGCCAAATGCCTTCAGCTCTGACGATGCTATGGGCGACAATAACCTACTCTGCTCACACAAAGCAAACTTTTTCCTTTCTTTTTTTTACTAAATAAATGAAAGAACATCTTCGGCCTCTCGGTGTAACTTCAGCTCGCTCGGATGTGTTAAAGACGATAAACAATTGCGTGTAGAGTTTGACCCCGTGGCAATGCGCAGACATACAACAAAAAAAAAACTAACAAGCTTGTTAGCAACGCAATTAGCTACGAAGCTAACCATTTGGCTACCCACTCTTGCGAGGCCCTTCTTTGTGATGCAGGATCAGGCAATAATTAATATGGCCAGCGCAATAACAGCAAGAAGATCCGCCGCTGATTAACAACACAACCGCGCACATTTATCCCCACACGAAACCCAGCGAGAATGTGTGTGTGTGTGTGTGTGTGTGTGGGGGGGGGGGTCGTTTCTTTACGATCATGCCATTAAAGTTAACATCTCACTGAAGTTAGTTGATATAAGGACGATTGAATTAAGAGCTGCATGTCGTTGAACACAAGCGAAACGCTACACAAGGCGCATGCAGAAACGATCCAAGGACGAACCGTGGTTTGAGCTCGACAAATAAAAGACAAAACGTGATTATCTTACGTCGTGGGTTCTTATTCCTGACTGTGTTCTTCGGGGTTGTTTGAGTCGTATTCCTGGCCCGGTTGAACCTACTGTAAGTGATGGAGCGACAACACAAGCGTGACCCCCCCCCACCATCACCCCTCCATAACAAAACGGCCCGCACAACTCCAGCGAACAATGATGCTCGTCCGACTAGCCGAGAGAGCTAGCTGACTTAGCTCGCTAACTAGCGGTAAAGTAACGTGAGAGTGCTGCGCTTTGTTGTCTGTCCCGGACGACGAGCTTGGACGACTGTCGACGCCGGTTACGCCTGAAAAAAGTTGGTTTAAATAAATTCCCCTTACCGGTGCAGGACCATGACCTGCCGTTTTGGCCCGTGAAGTTCACCCTCAGCCGTCCAGTTTCAACATCTAAAGCCAAAACATTGTTCTCCCGCAGCTGCTGTGTTCTTCCATCTTGCCTCGGCGCAGGGGATTCTGGGTCCCGCAGGCAGACGCGTCCAGCGAAGAGACTCCACAATGAAAACCAAACTTACGTTTTTTTACGTTTTTTTCTCATTACAGCGTCATTTTAATACTTCTTAAATTATAATTTACTCCAACGTTATTTCTTTTATTTTGATTCAATTTAAAAAATATTTAAGTCCCCCCCTAAAAAAAAAAAAAAAAAAAAAAAAAATCTCTCTCTCTCTCTCTCTCTCTCTCTCTATATATATATAGCTATGAAAATGTCACGATTATTATATTGTCTTGATTTCATAGTAATTAAATTGGTGTGTAATGTGAGAGAAAAAAAGTAATTCAAATATTGGTAGAACTTACTTTCTTTGTTGGAAGGAAGTACAAAGGCTATACAAGAGTATTGGAATGGAAACTGCATAAATAATTAGTAGGCTATGCAAAAAAAAAGAAGTAATAAACCCCAATCTAAATAATGCAACGTAAATTAATTTTCATTCAAATAATGCCTGCAAAATGTTATTAGGCTGAGTATGTGAAGGTAAATCAACAAAATGTCTTCATCTATGTAAAAGTAGCCTGTCTTTACTTCATATTAGGGTTGTCGTACATCATAATTTTAACACACAAAATAGTGCAAAATGCACCTAAATGAGAAGCATAAATAAAATAAAATGGAAAACAATAATAATTTCCAAATTGTATCTTTAGTACAGTTGTTAAGCATAGTTTACTGTAGGGATCATGTCTAGTGTACGATGTTTATTCGTTGAATGATTGATACGTACTGATACAAACATCAACTGAAGATTGTTCTGTCACAGCCAGGTTTTGGTTTAAGTTTAGTCTTGTAATATTTTTCAAGCTCAAATAGTTCTGTCATTGTAGTTGTTTCTTCACTTTTAAATTGATTTTCATCTCAGGCATAAATGAAAAGAGAGAGGGGGAAAACCGACTAAAAATCTCTTTAGTAAAGATGGCTGTGGTTGAGTGCTCTAATCACAAGAACAAAATTCTCAGAGCAGCCATTCAGATGTACTGACAGATGTATTTAGAAGTGAAGCTCTTAGATCTCATGGATGAATGACTGTGTATACATCTAAAGGCACATCAGAGTGAGAACCCGCACCCCATCTCCTAATTTTCCTCGACTAATGAACCAATTAATTCAGAGAGCCAAGATTAATGGAAATGCAGACAGTAGAGTGATGCAAAAAACGGTCAGTGGGTGCATTTTTGATGTCCCTGCTCCTTTCATATATCCCAGATGACAACTCACACAGTGGACAGTGCTATCTTTGAAAGCACTCTCATCTGGGATCACTTAAATATGTATGATGATGTGGTGATGGTGGCCTGATGAACTGAGAAGAAAACCAGTGATTAGAATGTGAGAGCATGCTTTGAGGTTATTAAAGTTCTTCTCCTTACAATTTGAATGTAGACAGATATTAATCAATGTATATGTTTTAAGTATAGATTGCACCTTTATGGAGTATGGAGCAAGAACACTGTACTAATTAATTAATAAATAAGTACGTTTTTATGCTTGTGATATGTTGCAGACATTTGCAGGTTTTAGAGTCTATGTGGTCAACATGATTATGTTTTTTTATTTAAGGGACTTTAGATATCTTACCAGCATAAGGTGTTTTTCAAAGGAGCATTCATTTTTTTTTTTAACCATGATTACCCATCAGGAAAAATATATATAACACCATGACAACATCCCGTACTTGACTTATACCTTGATTAAGCAAATACAGTTTTGATGCAGAAATCTTGCAGATATGTCTTCTGGATTGTGGTTTTTGAGCCGTATTAATGACAGGACTCGCCTCACCGACTGCTGTATTTCACCAGAACAAGTTCCCTACTGACATTATTTTGCATGGGCACCGTCACTGCATCATTGGCTAAGCACTGCCTTAGAGGAAATGGACTGAATATGACAGACAGGCAGACATTTAATCCATTGTGTATAGAAACATAATAATAGTCCATCATCATCATCATCAGTCACCTCATAACAACAGTGACAGTGTAAAAGCATATTTCTGTTCTGTAACTTAGCTCAGACGTGAGATTAAATCCTGTCATAAAGAGAGGACATCCTGCAAGTATTATTTCAATGTCGTGTTCTGAGAGTTATCCATGAATCTAGGCTGAGGTTAGGAAATGTCACTGTATGGCTCAACTTTCAACCAGCCCGTTCTATTAGTCCGTTTGATATGCTAAGGTCAGAGACATTACGACTCCTGCACTTTGAGTAATATGTCTCTGGCTCCACTTGGAGTAATCATCCCTCATTGTGAAGGTGAAAGAAGAGCAACAACGTCTGCACTAGCCATAAACCCACAGCTAACAAAGAAGACAAACATGAAGAAAAAAAAAAAACAGTCCAATACTTCCACGTCTGGAATCTGTGGCAGTTTGTGCCTCATATGACACTGAGGGTTATCAATCCTAACTCCTCATCAATAATTCAGCCGGTGCAGCGCGTCTTTGTTCTCTCCCCCTCCTCCCCTGAATCCATCTCAACCTTTTCTGTATGTGAATGTTGGGTAACTTTCTTCATCTAGTAAAGGAATCCAAGAAAACTCTAAACAGCTGAGAGCCACGGTTAACTGATTTCCTGTTTTGTGCTGATTTGGATTCCTCTCTGTGGGAAAGCCTGGTGCCTACACACAACAGATGGCGGTCCTGGCCGTCTACACTTTAATCCTCAATTGTTAGGAGGATCACAGTTGTATACAAGATCCCTACACTGACAAAGGAGACCCTTGGAAGTTAATAAAAACCTGTGCTGGGGATATACTTTGTATTGGTGGTAATCTGGATGTTTCTTCTTTGGCCATTGATAGATATTTGGCGGCACATTATACACATCAGAAATTAAGTTTATACCCCACCCAACTGATTGTGTGTTACTACCACATTACATTATTTTATTTATTTCAATTTTACATACTTAGTTAATCCCCCAAACAGAAGCTATGGACATAATGTAGAGAACTCAGAGTGTTATTGGGCATCTCAAGTTCAACAGTAGTCGGAAAATGACCTGGCACCTCTCCTGTTACCAGTTCAACTCCCGCACTTTGGTCCAAACAGAGACTTGAACAGAAATAGCTCCAGTTCCAAACCAATGTCCCTACATACTGAGCTACTGCCGCCCCAACAGAGTCCCTAAAAACACCTCAACAAAGTCTGTCTGCACATATGCCATGACCTACTAGTCACTATAGGCATGATATGAGAAAAATATGTGACGTGCGATAACATTGTTCATATGTACGAGAATGAAATGAATTACAATATACAAGTTAAAGAGTGAATACAAGCTGTAACTCAGAGTTTTTAAGACCTTCTGCTTGTCCTCATGTTTTAAACAAGACCTTTGTTTGCAACATTTCTTAATGGTTAATATGTAGCTATCGTAGCTTATCTTATATATTTTGAAACAGTCCAAGGTTGTAGCCATGCAACTACAGTACAGGAGCATCCATGATATAACTGCACCCGTCAAAGAAACACGTAAGCAAATCACCTTTGTGCAGATTTAACAAAGGAGCATTATAAGAGCAGTAGTCAGGAGCTGTTTCCAGTCTTTATGCTAAACAATGTAACCAGCTGTTTGCTCAAGCTATTACTGCCCCCAATGTAATCTTTAAGGGTTAAGACATGAGAAGATTCATACAAAACACACTTTAAATACAAGGGAACAATAACGCAAAGCAGCGGCAACATGGAGGCTGACTTAGCTTTTCTTTTTGTGTCTGTCAAAAAATATTTAGTAAGCTGGGAAACCGGTAAAAGAGAACCTAAAAACGCAAAAGCATAATGATGGAGGAAAAGGCTGAAGCTTTCAGGAATACCAACATTTTCCTCACATTCTCAACAACTACAATAAAAAACTGAACTGAAAAATGAACTCACCATCCACTGAAAATCAATGGCCTCCAGCTTTTAGAAAAGTGAAGTAAGAAGATGGAAGCCTCTTCTCATGAGCAGGATTAATAGGAGCCTTTTTGAAGGAACTATATTTCCTAAATGATTACTCGTATGGATTATCAGTTAAGTAATATAACTTTAAGCAACTACAACAAAAAGAAAATAGAAGAAATAAAGTCAGTGTATCTCACTTAAAAATATTATTTTAAAGTAAGCGGTTATGCAAGCCTGTCTCCGTGAGGTAAAATAAAACTTGACTGGATTATTTTTTTAACAAAATGATAAGGAAATGTTGTCACGTCACAGATCAAGAAAGATCGTTGGGCACTTTAATCTCTAAGTAGAACCTGTAAATGTATTGATATCATGCAGAAATATCTAGTCTTACAATACCATGTGTAATACCAAAGCCATTTCTCGTCGAAGCTTTTGTGACCTACTTGAAAGTTAACCAGAGTTTGTTTTTTTTTCAAAAGTATTCCAGCGAGATAGAGAACAGGTTGTCCAAAAGCCCAAAATGACCACCAAGCAGAAAACAACAGTGCAAGTCTCCATAAATGAAGCTTGAGTTTTTAGTTTAGAACAACAACTCCTGCACAGCCTTTTGTTGTATCTCATGAAATTAACCTCTTTAAGGTGTATGTTAAATAATATACTGATGTTAAAGGACAACCATTTATGTATGTGTAAGGCAAATGTTACTTTCTGGTCACTGTTTTAACGCCAATATTAATCTTCCATTCCTAATAAATGTAAGGTCAGACTGATAATTACTATCTAAATACCACTGTGTTGCTGTTTATCACCTACAGCTTGGATGGTGAAATGACTGCTTACTTTTTCAGTACAATCCCTGAATGAGTTTTATCTTACTCCATCTCAGGGAAATGCCTTGAGGTCGTCTGATGATTGCTCCACATTCTCTCATCCTCTGCGTGTAAAGATACTGTCTTTCGAGGGACAATTCTTCTCTTCCATTCACAACCTGAATACACTGCCAGAGGAGTTTCTCATTCAAGTCAATGTGAGCTTTTAAACTGCTTTATAACGGCTTAGA